ATTTTGATGTGTGGCTAGATATAAGCATAACAATTGTGAAGACGAGATGAATATCTGAAACAACATGTTATGGTTTTGACTTATCAAAGTTACTCTTCAGGGAAAATGGAAATGTTARCATGGAAATAACTCTCACAGGAAAATAGCTGTTAAGCATTTGTTTCTTACACAGTACATATGCAACATTCCCACCTCCCCCTCTGTTAAAGGATGTAGAGCAAGGGTGGCATTGCTCAAGGATTGATGGTAGGTCCTGACTTWAATGATGACCATTTTATCACTGCAGTGTTACGATGTTAGATTAAATTTATGGTTACTCTTGCATCAAGGATGGTATTATTCTTTCTGCTTTTGCATAATATACCTCAGTATTTATTTGATGGAGGTTTATTTTGAAGGATTTATTTGAAGGTAAAAGCTTGTGTTGCCTGCTATTTCTCATTTCCAAAAACATTGCCTTTTATCCACTGCTGTGAAGCACAAGCTATGAGTAAATAGCTCTATTGAGAAAATAAGCATGCAATAAATTTTCATGAGCTGTTTCAATCTTGCATTTTTTGCAGCATCGAAATAACTTTTATGGGGAAATGACTTGGGGGAGTGAAGAACTGCTAAAAAAATTGTGAATAAGATGAGACATTCAGCAAAAAGCAACACTGTGGCCTCAAAAATCAGTGTTTCCTTGAAGCTGTTTTTAGTGTTGTTAGTGTTGAATGTCATCATAAGTAAATAAAAAATATTGTTAAAATCCTCTGTAGCTGCATAAATTGTATGTCTTTTAATCCAAGKAGGCATAGGTGTTCTAAATGATGGAAGAAAACAAGAGGGTGGTAATTTGAAGTCTTAATAAGTCACCAAGCTTAGCCTTCCTTCTCTTCCCCCCAAAACCTGCATTAACTTTTGATATCATTWGTAATTTGATGTCACTGAATTTTTCAGGTCTTTTTTCTTTGATTGCATTAAAAATAAAAGCAGCTAATGCTTTCCCTTAGAAAACTGTTCTCACTAAAAAACAATTACATTTCTTTTGAAGTWGAGAATTTCTGTGCTAATAGAAAGCGAGCCATTCCCTTATCTAACATTTGAGGTCAGAACAAACAGAGCCTATGGCAAGGCATTAGGAGAACATGACCTTGGCTGAGCAGCAAGACCCTGCCAGTGTCCAGGGCCTTCATCTCTGGTGCAGAATGTTGATCCATGAGTCAAAGTACGTATTCATGATTGTTTAAAAAGAAAACAAAAACCTCCCAAATAAAAAAAAAAAAAAAAAGAAAAAAAAAAAAAAAAAAAAAAAAAAAAAAAAAAAAAAAAAAAAAAAAAAAAAAAAAAAAAAAAAAAAAAAAAAAAAAAAAAAACCCACCAGAAATTTGCTGCACATGTAAAACAAAAATAAACACCCCAATGCCAAAATCTGGAGTGTGCTTTTTAATTCCATTGACTAGATGTCCCATTTATATTTCGAAAAGAGATGTGGAACAGTAAAGCAGYCTTGTAATGAAGGTTCCAGTGCCAGGAAGCTAAGACAGAAGAGCTGCTGATAATTAAGTGCAGATAAAACAAGGAGGAACCGAGCTACTCTGACCTGCAGTGGGAGCTTGGGCCAGTGAGGAGAGGGCTGACTCAGGGATAACTCTTATGCACATAAATAAATTGGGAATTTTCCTTCTAAATGGGGGTTCTACAACAGGCTCAGCAGCTCCCTTATTCTGCCTGAAGGGCAAGATAATTCAAAAGTTAGATTTGATGATCTGAGAGGTCTTTTTCACCCTCAGGGGTTCTGTGGTTCAATGACAAGTCAGGGGGAAAAAAAAGGAAGATCATCATTGCCTGTTTAAGAATGTGAAGAGTGAATGGTTGCCTGTAACATTCCTATTGCAAAAGAGGGAGGCAAAAAAGGATAACTCTTCTTCTGTAATGGAAATTTATCATTTAACAGTTAAGACTTYGCCCAGGCTTTCCTATTTCTTCAGGGACAGAAAGGACGTGCCTAAAAAATCCCATGGTGTGCTGAACTAACTGGTGGCTAAACTGGTGTTTCTTCCAGTCTGGCAAACTTTTTGTTTGCTCAGTGATGGTCACAAGCATACATAATATTACTTCTTTACCTGTGAAATAAACAGAACGAGTTTGGTTTGCTGTGGGTTTTTTTGCTTGTTTTGTTGGGTTTTTTTTTTTTTTAGTTCAGCTTGTATTTATTTTGGTTTTGAGCAAGAAGGAAGTTGTCAGGTAATCTCCCAAGTATTTCATGGAAGTGATTAATTTCTGTTAATTCCCTTCACTTAGGGGAGTTTATACGCCTGAGGAAAAAAAAAAAGAGACTGCTGTATTTTGCACTCTCCTGCTTGGCCAGGTGATCACTGATAGTTGAATAAATAACTGGCTTTTTTTTAAGCTATTTCATCCTTTTAGTGCCTTCTGGCCATAAAGCATATGTAAAGCTGGACAAAACTTTGAGGATAAAAAAAAAAAAACCCAACCAAACAAAAAACCCCAAAACTTAATTTACTTCTAAACCTGTTTGTCTAACCTATAAATTCTTTGCTGGGCAAGGTAGAAATTTAGAAGATTTTTATGGTTTTCTCAAAAGTCTGGGTTTTATGCTAGTTAGCTTGGAAATCTTCATCCAGATTCAGCTACTGCTCCTTTGCTGCATATGTAAAACCATGAACCACTACTGAGTAAGAGAGGTTTTCACAGCTACAGTTACAACTAACCATGTGAAATTTTGAAACTTTATGATCTAAATGAAACTGATACTTGGTTCCTGACTTCTGTAAGAGCTTCTTTCTCTGCCATTCCCAGRTAATGGGCTTAAAATGTTTGTTTCTCCTCAGTTCCTTTGTATGAATGGATACATTTTTGTAGTTAGAAAATTTGCTTGAACTTATGAAGCATCCAGTTGCGCTTGCTATGGAAGAAAGGGAAGGAAATGCAAGAGGATTCGTAGTCCCTGCTGAATACTACTTCTCCATCTCCTCTGTCAAAGCAAATATTGGAAGCATAAATGTAAAAGATTATTTGGACTTTCTCACTGTGATTGTGCTTCTTTAATTTGGGAGTTAATTATAAACCTTGAAATAAGGAAGGGTTTTTAAGATGGGAAAGAAAGCATGTTTGGCGTGGCTTTGGCAACTGCTACTTGCACATCAAGCAGCATTTGGTATTTTCATTTGAAGATGCATTGATGCACAGCAATCTTGATGACACTGTGAACTTTTCTCCAGGTGAAAAAAGATTTTTCATGTTTTCTATCCCCTACTTGGACTTGTTTGCGTTGAGATTACAAGTACAGCTATTAATGCAGTGAACTGAATGTAGTAAAAAACTTCACTAGCAKCTTTGTGAGTTTAAAGTACTTTCTTTGCACTTAGAAAAATATATATTCTGTAAGTGCTAAATAAAGTGATGCAGGCTGGGGAACTGCATGCCATCAGGGGAGGGAGTCTGTAGCTGGCAGAGGTTCTTACCCATGCCTTTGTGGCAAATTATCTTCAGGGAAAGGCAGTAATGGGCATTCCATTTCCTTCAGCTTTTTCTAGGCAGTCTCAAAGCCATAGCAGTTTCTCACAAAGACTCTTCAGGTGCGTTAGCCTCAGTTCACAGGCAGGCATTCTCCATCTGCTGTGCACTGCTGTGTTTCCTGGCTGGTTCTGGAAGCAGCAGCAGCTCTKGGAGCTGCAGTTCAGGCTATTGAAGATGGGCTTGTTGAAGTGGCAGCAAAGTTTCCAGTAGCAGCTGTGCTCCCASTCTTCCTTGGGAGCTGCTAAAGCTGTCCAGTCACTGTTACCTTACAGAGATGTTGAAGTTTTGGCAGACCACACCATTTTCAGAGACAGTTTCTCTTCCTTCTGGACTGTGGGATTTGGTGTTGCCCTCAAATCAGTATTTTGGGTTTCCCATGTGATGTGCTTAAGGTCTTTTCTGTAGATATCCATTTGTGGGTCTTCCTGTTGGGGGGATGAATCCCTGTGATTTTTTTCTCTGGAGCACTGGCTTGCTTAACTCTGCGTTTTTGACTCCCTTGCATCCTGCCTTCTCCCTCATGTTCTGGCCCCCGCCAGTGAATTTGGTGTTCATATTTGTGGCTGGATTGGAAATAAGTCGTGGTTAGATCTACCTCTGTACAGTGTGATGGGAGGGTGCTTACCTGGCTGCAGGCCAGTTTCAGCTCATCTTGCTGAGGGAGCTTCATGCTGGCTCCAATGGAAGCAAAAGGTGCTTGTGAATACTTGATTTCCTAACTGCAGATCTTACAGAGATGCTCCTTTCCCCTTTTTTTGAGTGCTTAGAGCACCTTTTGTAAGCCGATAAAAATCAGCTTCAAAATTCAGGAGCTAATGTGTGATTCTGTGACCCAGCTCATTCTYGTGCCAGCACAGGCAGGATGAGCTGGATCAGGGCTGCTCCAGCTACYTGCCAGGTAGTTATGTTGGAGCCAGGCCAGTTCACAGCTAAAACACAAGTAGCCATGCCAGCTACTGGCAATCCCTGATGTCAAGCCTACAGAAATTTCATTCAAATAAACTTTCCACAGAGGTGATAAAATTGGCGAATATGTAGCCTCACACCTATGGCCATGACCATTTCTTTGGTTACTCAAGGTGTCACTTGTGTTTTTTCTTAAATTTGGCTTTAACAGGCAGATTGTTTAATTGTGGAACAGAAGAYAGTAAAGGACTCCCTTGGTTTTCCTGGCAAAATTTATTGTTGCTATGGGAATAGCCTAGCAGTGTTGCAGAGTCAGAATGACTCCTGGCTGTCTAGCAGGAGATCTGTTACGCCACATTTGTGGACATTGAGAAATTAGTTGGATTGCCAGGATTTTAAGGAATGTAACTTTAAGCTTTTTCTTCCATGCATCAACCAGAGCACTAAATAGACTTAAGTGCTAATGGGTGTAATTTCACTTTTGTTCTCTCTGCTTTTGAAGAGTGAGTATCTTAAACTGCAAATACAAGATAGAGCTGCATACTAACTTTAAAAATATGTTTTGTTTTTAGCTCTCAAGAAGATGAGCGGCCTATGTCACCCTTCTACGTGAGGTATTTACTCAGTTGTTTTATTTTTTTGGTGTGKGATTGACTCATTATTGGAACTAAATGTGGGGAGGGGTGCCAGAAGTGCTGAATGGACTGTAGTCAAAGTGGGAATTAATTTCACCATTGTAATTATTGCTCAGTTAGTGGGAGAATCTTTGTGGATACCATCTCTCTTGCAATTTTTTTGTGTCTAGGGAAGAGGCCCAGGGTTTAAACTCTACATTACTCGATGGACATGGGCTTCCTCTTTTCTTTGGTTTGTTACGTATCCTGAGTAGCTTATCTGCRGGCACAGGAGAGACTTTTGCCACAGGCTTTGGGGAACTAGCAGCATGTGCTGCTCAGAAAGAAGCCAGGAGCCAGATGGTGAGTCAGCAGCCCATCCAGCAACTGCTTCCCTGCTGCAGCCCAGAAAAGCAGGAGAGCGCCTGGGTACCCAGCAAGCCTCACTGGAGGGAATGGTGCTCATGCTGCATTTGAACAAATTGTTTCTTGTTTTGCCARCTGGATGGCAAAGTCACTGCTTGTAAAAGGGGTCTAATTCTGTTGACATCAGTGAAAGTTTGCTCTGCTTGCTTCAGTAGCAGGCTCAGTTCCAGTGCTTTCATTTATACTTAGTGGAAGAACAGGAGCCAGAGCAATTAACAATGAAGGGCTGCAGAGGAGGAAGGGCCAGATATTATAATTGGGTTCTTTGATCTCTGCAGAGTTTAAACAAATAAAAAGAAATCCCAGTGGTGCTTTTTGTGAGAACAGTGATAATTGGAATTTTTASAGTGATGTCTGAAATTTGTTAATCTCTGGCATATATTCCTATTTATCTTGGTAAATTGCTTTTTTTCTTACAGAATTTTTCTAATATAAACCATAGAAAGAGCGTATTTAATGSATACTGTGCAGAAATGTGTGGGTGAATTGTTCATGGATGGTTGCATGATCCTGTCTGAGTTGCTGTTGATGCGCCCTCATTCCCTGCAATCTATTTGTGCAGATGTTGCTCAGTCTGTGCCTCAAAAGCTTCAAAGTGTCCAAGGAGTTTTTGTCTTTTCCTTCAGGAGATTATTTTGTAGCTKCATGCATACATTCCCCCGTCTCAGATTTTCCCTCGTTTCTTCATCCTGTCTTTCCACTGAAAATCATCTGCCCCTTTGTTTTTCTTTCTGGCTAAATGTGACCTTCAAATTATTTTAGGCTTTCATTACATTTCCATCTGTCTTACTGCTCAAAACTGTCCTTCCAAGCCCTTTCCTGGATTATAGAAAAATGATCCATGAAGAAGATTCTCTTTGGCTGACCTTGTCAGGATCACCGGGAAGATGGGGAGCAAGGAGTGGACCTGAGAAAACTGATAGCAAAGCAGGACATTTCTGAGAGAAAGGGAGCAAGCTTGAACATCTTAAATAGAGATCTAGGCTTATTAGGGGAGAGAACAAAGAATGAGTGTGTCCACTGAAATGAAGGGATGGGTTTCCATGGGAATCTTTCTGGCAAACAGGAAGGGAACAGTCAGGAGTAAGCACATAGCTGGKAAGTGAAGAATTGGCTGGTAGGAGTAGAGAGGGAGCAGCACACCTTGACACGCAGGCTTGGTGCCAAGCTCGTGTCTTTTGTAGCATTGCTGGGATACAGTTTCTTGTAAATAAAGGGAACAGCTTGTAGTCTTGCTTCTGTTTATAACACATCAGAAATGTGTCCTCCTAAGGTCAGTTGCCAAGTGCAGTTAATTTGGCAGGAGAGCTGGCATTGGCTGGGCAACTCCTGGTGCTTGAACAACTGAGAGCTTGAGTGGGTAGCCAGATTTTTCTGTGTAAGTTTAAATGTTCTAAMTGTTGCCCCAAAGGCTGTGCATGAGATGTAGGAATTGCATTTCACAYCATGGGCAAGGAAGGGGAGACTAATATCTAATGGTCAAATCTATTTCTTTTGCTGCCCTGYCACACTTACATAGTTTAAAATACTRTTCAAGAAATCCTTCAAGTGAATCATGAATATTTGGATACAGAGCAGTAACTGCTGTGTCTGTGCAGTAGTTCCATATAGATAATTACACAACAAGTTAAGTAAGAGGGAACAAGAGCTCTTTAGCTTCCAAACACTGCATAATACTTGGCTTTTGCCAGACTGAAGGAACACTGTGTCCCTCTGTYGTGGTTTAACCCCAGTCAGCAGCCAGCCGCTTCTCTCACTCCTCCACCAGCAATGGGAGATTTGGTAGAGAATCAGCATGGTAAGAGCAGRAAAAGTCATGGGTTKAGATAAAGACAGGTTAATAGGAAAGAGCCTCGCACACAGGCAAAGCAGAACAAGGAATTAATTCAGTGGTTCCCATGGGCAGGCAGGTCTTTGGCCATCTCCAGAGAGTGGAGCCCTGTCACATGTAACAGTTACAGATGCCATCACTCCAAATGTCCCCCCTTTCCTCCTTCTTCCCCCCGGTTTATATACTGAGCATGATATCATATGGTCTAGAATGTCCCTTCAATCAGTTTGGGTCGCCTGGCCTGGCTGTGTCTCCTCCCAACCTCCGGTGCACCCCTAAATTCCCTGACAGTACAAAACCAGAAAAGGCCTTTGCTCTGTGTAAGCCCTGCCCAGCAATAACAAAAACATCTCTATATTATCAACCCTGTGTTCAGCACAAATCCAAAACACAGCCCCATACCAGCCAYTGGGAAGAAAATTAACTCTACCCCAGCCAAAATAACACCCTCCATAAATCGGTTTTGGTAGGATCAAATCAGAGACTGGATTATTCAATGCTGTACCAGCTAATAATGGAGAAGTTTCCCAGGTTGCTGTTTTTAACAATAAGAAAATGCTGAAGTCTTAACTTTTAYTTCAGAACTGTCAGAATACCCCCAATAAAAACACTATATCTTAAAATGAAACTGGTTTAGGCTTGGGGATTTTTTTTTTCCTTTTGATATTGGAAAAGTCAAGACCAAATATAGAATTTATCACTGGTGCTACTTCGTAAGGGAAGAAAGAGTCTTTAACAGTGTGAGAGTAAACAGTAAAGGAGGCAAAATGTGACATGGATTTATAAAGAGTGATAACACCAGTACAACCAAGTTATTTTTTAACAGACTTACCAGAGAGAGGAAGAAAAGGAATATACCTAATCTGTCTGTTGTCAACAAAGTATATCATGCCATCCATATGGAAAAAGGGAACATGAGYACTAGAACTTAAAGGATGGGTAGGGAGAGGGTGAGACCTCTAGATAGTGCTGGTAGGAAGGGAAGGGGATTGCTGCTGGAGCTCCTAAAGTGTCTTGAATTTCTTTTCTTTAATAGTCACTAACTCAATAAAATTGGATCTCGTAAATTAATTGAGCTCATAGCAGAAATTTAGGAGGGTGAATGGGAGTGTTCTCTGGGAGAAAATATAGGACAGTGACATATCTTATATATTAAGATATTTCATATATATTTATAAAGATAAGCATCAAATTTAAGACACATGCTATAAAAATAATAATGTAAGTAATGAAGTCATATACCTCAGGTCTGTTAATGAAAATCTTTTACATGAAAGGGGTGTTCCTCACATTTGGAAATGCTGGGGAAAAAAAGRATGCGAACATACTTGTTCATGGAGAGATGAAAGTGAAGCAGGGGATGAAAATAGTCAAGTTGAAGTAATATGATGGTGGATATATAAAGGAAGTATTTTCAGTATATTTAGAAGGGATACCCTTGTAYAAGGGACAGATGAGACCTTACACAGTTTCCAAGTAACTGTGTTCCATTGGCTTTAGGTTTGTGAAGATGAYTAAAGAAATAGCAAGACTGTTGGAAGATGGAGAAAAGATCATGGAGGTCCTATCTACCATAAGAAATGAAACAGCATACAACATATTCCCTTTGAGTTTTAGACAGAGGGGAAGGATTGTTTATGTTAAGTAACAATACTGATGCAAGACAGAATGTGTAAAAATAGTTTATGAATATATTTGGGCAGAAAATTACTAATTTTGTAGCTGGAGCCCACTTTCAGTGGACATAATAAGGATGAGGTCAGCTTGACCTGTTGGAGAGATTTGGGGTTTGAATCCATTCACTTACTGCTGACCAGGGTTGTCTTCTCCCTGTCTGTAGTCCTTGATTAGATAATTTGTTGGCTCAGCTGTGCTCAGTACCAGACAAGAAAATTTCAGTACTGTTAAAAGAGGAAAGCCTTGCTTGGTGATTGATTGTTCCAGGGAGTCATGCCTGAAGGGCRTTTACGTTGCAAAACCTTTTGTAACAGAACTTGTGGTGAAGGGAGTTGAGATTGTTAAAAAGTGCCTAGTTCTGCTCCTTGTATAATCCTGTAGTGAGACTGTGAATGCCAGCTGTATTGAGTAATCAGAACTGAGAAACACTCGGCAGTTTCAGGTGATGAAGCAGCATCTGGCAGTGGCAGTTCYCTGTAAGCACAATTCACTCCAGTGTGCAGGGAGTTTTTAGAAGACAGGGAGTCTTCAGGCACACTTTGTGCTGGCATACACGCTTTAGATGTGACGGTAGTCATGTCGATGGTTTCAGAGGAGTTCCCTCCTGGGTATGTCCTGGGATAAGCCAGAGTGATAGCACAGGGGAGAAAAGCACAAGCTTTGTAGTGGGGAGCTTCCTTGATAACATGCAGAGCATAAACTGAAACTGCAATGAGACCTGACATCACAAGCAATGCCAAAGATGGCATTAAATACTCATGAGTGCAGGGCAAGGCATTGGACAGTTTTGCCTGATTCTTTTCCTACAATTACTCCTGTTGGCATTATTTAGTACAGCTGACTGTTTCTCCTTTGACAGATTTTGAGACAACTCATTTTAAATAATGCGGGTCAGGTATTCTTAGCCTGAATTCTATCGGGTGAGATGTTTTTTATGCTATTTGTTCTCAGGTAAGTTTCCTGAAGATACTTGAAAACTTTGCTGTGGATTTCACACCTGCTCAGAAATTTGCTTGGCCACCTTCCCACTGGACACTTCTTCCTCCATGAGACATGCCATAAGAGGTCCTAAGGTCCACAGGATTGCTGGGCCCCATTACAAATTATGATTACATTATGTGATGTATGTTCATGTCCATCACACCAGCACTGGCTGAAAGTAAACACYGGGCCTGTGGGTGCCCAGCTGCCATGCAGGTCTGAGGCTCCCTGAGGATTATTTCCTTCCTCTGCAGAGGAGCCTGCACACAGCAGTGCAGTGCAAATTCACCAAGATCAATCGCGTGGCCTGTATGAATCCCCTAGAGGGTTGTCTCTGCTCCAAGCAGTAGGTGTCAGTGTGCATCCATCATAAAGGATGTGCAAGTGAAAAACGTTCAGAATCGTGAAGACAGTTGCTTTTAGTGGGATTAGTCTTCTGCATAGTAACAAGGTAGTGTAAAAACTAATGTACTACATTTACCAGAAGGATAGTTTGATCTGAGCTTGTGAAAGTGTGAAGTTGCTGAGAAAACAATGGAAGTGTGTTCTCTGTATGACAGGCCATCCCAATAACTAGGAGCACACCGCTTTGATTTTTAAACTCATTATTTTCACATTTTATATGCCATAACAAATTTTCCCTTTGGTGTATCACATAAATTGTGATCATACAATCATATAATTGTCTTTGAATGGATCCCTCATGAATCTGCAGTATTGCATGTGACAACGTCGAGAGTCGATAACATTTAGACCATATAAATACCTATGAATAGGAACTTCCTAGGTCATGGATTGAAATAGTATATTCGGGAGGACTTCAGGAATCTGCCATCTGTTACATCATAGCCATTTAAACATTCTCAACTTTGCTAGAATAGCAAAACAGTAAAAAGTTTTTGCATCTATTGAAGCTTTCTTACTGTTGTGCTCAGCTTTTTAAAAAGCAAAAACAGGAATAAAAACCACTTTTGCTTCCTGCATAAAGTGGATGAATTGTAAATAAATCTCAGCAACAAGTGACCTTAGTACCAGATTGCAAGTATAGCTTGAAAATTAGGCCATTAAGTATAGTCAGGAATTAATTAAATTACTTAATTAATGAAAACCCAGTCTGGGAAAATACTATGCCAGTATGTTAGTTTGCTCTGTTTGATGTTTTTGTTTTGTCTTTTTTTACCTGAATGCTAAGATACTTTGCTCAATAGTGGCTTGAATGAAAGAAATCAGGAGAAGGGGCTTTGATATCAAACTCAGTTATTTGTCTGCTATCACAAGATGCCCAACAGACCAGAAGAGGTACAGTCATTGCTTGAGCTAATTCTCCAGTGAACATCTTTCAAACTTAGGCAGTCCTAGTTAGGAGAAGACAGGGGAGACTGAATGGTGATGGAAAATGCCACCTTCTTGTTCTTGAGGCTGAAACAGAAGAAAGGAAGCCATGCAGTAAGAGTTTACTTTATGTGTGAAGTAAGACCTTATCCAGAGCTGATGGAACACTTCTGAAAGTGAGCAAAAGGCTTTGGTAAACAAGTTAGACAAAACTGGGAAGTGCTAGAGGTCAGACTTCCCAAAAGGAAAAGCATGAGGKTTATGAGAAACCAGTTCAAAAGTTCATAGCACTCAAAACAGTTGTGTGCCTTGATGCAGGTTTTCTGGCTGGCTTTCTGAAAGTAAAAGTCCCCCAGCACTGGGAAACCATCTTGCTCCCTTTTGCCACCCAAGGAGAACCTGGAATTTCTATCAGAAGTCAGTATTTCTCAGCATGCTCTACAGCAGCAGCTGCATAATTTAATAAAGATAATCTAGCCGTGGAGATAATTGACCATACGTATCAGTGAAATGAAGCAGGTGTAAGGAGAAAATAATGAACTGAAGCAGAACACGAGTTGCCATTGTCCGGATGATTTACTGAGYGAGGCAGCTGCCTGCACAGGCGGGCATGCCAAGAGGCTTCTCTAGACATGGCTCACCCTGCCTGCTCTGCAGAAATCCAACAGCAGAGTGACTTTGTGCCACCCAGGAAGTTTGGAAAACCCCTCAGGRCACACCCCGCCTGCCCGGTTGCTTTTTTGGGCTCTGAAATCCTTACAGGGCGGTGTCTTTGCTYGGGTTTGCCAACATGCTCTTGCACCTCCTGTTCTGTCCTGCAGCAGACTCAGATCCTAAAACCACTGTGCAACTCTCCCTCCACCATTTGTTTTGTGTGCGAACTTCCTTGGTCGAAGAAAGGTTGGTGGAGAGTAAGTGAAGCAATTTAGCAATGTATTTAATTTAAGCTTCAAAATGAAATAGCCAGAAAATATACCTATTGTGGAATTAAAAGGAAGTTAGTGTATCTAGAAAAACTCTGATTTAAAATYTCTGCCTTATTGAGATGAGGCTAATAAAACAGCATTAAGTTATCACAGAGCTAAGGATAAGCTTGGATTCAGGATCCAAGGAAGAAGGGAAATACAATAAAAACAACATCAGAGCTTCATTTTGTAGTCCTCCACTCAGCTGGCATATAATGTATACTACTTCCTTGTTATTTGTCAGTAGTTTGAAAATCACTGCTGTCTTTCTTACAGAATCTATATTGTCTGAATAGGGCTTTTCTAGGTACAGCAAATTAATTGTTATGCATCATTGCAAATTAGTCGGGTTAATGTACTTAAAATTGAATTGGTGTTAGTAAAGCACACGGTTAACTGTGAATTAGACAACTACAGAAAGTATTGGGTGTTTGAAAAATTTTTGTTGGTAGATAAACCTACATCTTAGGGGTGTTTAAAAAAACCAAAAATCCAAACAATCCTTTCTTATTCTCCTCTACCACTTTCCTGGCATGAAAAAGGAGAAGAAAAGTGTGATGTGAGAGACACCCCCACTCAGTTTGGCTTGCATATTATAGAAAGTTGATACAGCATTATCTTACTCCCATGGATGTAGGAGCTGTAGCAAGMACATGATTTATATATCTTACAATGTGGGTTAGCCTACCACACTAGCACCTTACTTGCTAATATGTCTCTCTTGGGAGAGCAGGTCTTATAAATAGTTTTGGGCTGGGAAGAGGCCATAATTCCTGTAAGCAAACAGGACAGCAAGTAGGGTGCTTGAAATCTGCACTTCAAATTGCAAAGGCATCCTGTAGTCAAGAGTCAAGCTGTTCAATGTTGGAAGAGAGTGATCTTGTGAATTTTGTTTCCTGTATGCAGMTATTATATCTGTAATAATAAGTACAGTAATAGTTGTTTGTATGTCTTCATGAAATCTTCTGAATGGCACAACTGCTCGGTRCTGTGCAGGTAGTGTGGGACATTCTGGCAAGTCCATGACTCCTTTTCTGGTGTGCCACCACTCCAGTGACTTGTGCTGGGACTGGAGAGTAGTGCTGAATGAAACTGGGACTGGCRAGGATGTGTGTGTGGTTAGACCCCAGGTGAACACACTGGCTCAGCCTAAAGCACACTGCAATTCTGATTTGCAGCTGCGCATTTGTGGGATTTGTAATTCGCTACAGGAGTCAMGTCGGTTTGTTGATTTTGTCTAATTAGCTGTAGTGACTCCTCTTTTACYTTTTTCTTCCTCTGTCACCTGCTTTGGCCCAAGTGACACTCAAACCCAGTAAAGTCACAGAGTKGTTATTTGAGACACAGAGTGGTTATCTGAGAGTGCTGCAGCTTCTTAGATAGTTGTAGCCCTGTACAATGAAGTGCAAAATATTCGAGGGAAGCAGAGAGGAAACCTTTGGGTAGCAAGGGCAAATCAGCTGTTAATGGTTCTGCATTGGAACGATTTGAGAGAAACTAGTAATGACTGAAAGCATTGAATGGCTATTTTGGCAGGAGGCACATTTGCATCCAGCCTGGCTTTTGTACCCTGACCAYATTTTGCTGGGATTTATCAGCCAGTTGTACTCTGCTGATATGGCGATAATTTGAAATGAAACCCCTAGGCCTGTAGTTTATTTGACTTAACAGAGGTCACAGGAGAGATGAATAGGCAAAGTGTCACTTTATCTGCAAGGTCGAGTCAGCTGAGTCAGTAGGTGAAAAGGGGGCAGGATGGGACTCATCTTGGCAGCGGGAAGAAAGCAGTRACACCTATGCCAGGTCAGCTTGTTCAGAAGGGCTTTAAACAGCAAGCGATAACACCTACATTTGTGTCAGCTTTTCCTGAGCCTGATAGCAGACTAAGGTAAAAAGGGAGAGATGARTGCATGAGATTTTATTTTTTAAAATGTGAAGCAAAGAACATTAATATGTTCCTTGAGCATATTCAAAGAATAGTTAAAGAGAGGTAGCAGTTTAATATTAATTTAATATTAAGTGTATATGTTTTCAAGTCATCCTCAAAAGGCAAAGACACTTGTGATGAGGCTAAAACATCAACAACASAAAGCTCAGAAGGAAATAAAAAATCTGCAACATGTTGATATTGAAATACTTGTTATAAGACCTTGTCCTACTACATGGGGATGACAGGGAATTTAATTCTTGAGGATATTGACATTGTCAAAATGTGCTGTGTCAGTGGGAGTGAAAATTCCTCAAGGGGAAAACTTGTGACATGAGTACTCAATTGTTGAGACAGCTCAGGCTTTTAAATTTTAGTGCTGCAAAGAACAAGTGGTTTTAAGAACTTACTTTGAAAATAAGATCTAACTTTCTTCTCGTTTTTTCCTTTTATACAGTGCCCACGTATCACAAGTCAGTAGCAACATTCCTGCTACAGGAGAGTAAGTGTTTTTTACAATTTTGTAGATATCTTCCTAGAACCTTTTTAAAGTATTGTTGGTTATTCTTTGATTGCTCTTTAAGRGTTGTTCTTACATAAACAAGCAGCWGTGTTTCTCAAAACAATTCATCTGCAATGATAATAAATCACTTCCTTCTGAAGACTTCTCAGGCCCTTGGTTTTTTGCTCACTGTGCCTGTGATGTTTTGCTTAGGCAGGACTTGCATATTTAGAAAAGTTATTTGCTCTGTGTCATCCTCTTGCTCTTGTTTGCTCCCTGTTGCATCCCAGCAGAGGATGTGACTTGACCCTACTGCTGTAACTGGGAGGAGCAGRGCTAAAATGAGTTGGCTCCTTTTCTAGAGCTGGAAATTCCCAAAGGCTGAAGGGTTTGCAGGACTTATCTTTGTCAATAGTGAAATACAGACATACTTGCCTAGTTAAACCACATGGGGTTTTGCAGTTGCTAAGGTCTTTTGACTTTTCCAGGAACTGCAGCCTCAGCAGGCATTCAACTATAGCAACTTAGCACAGCTTTTGTGAAGGAGAAATCAGCCCAAGCACAGGTTTCCATACTGTAGCTACTCAGTTGAAAATGAACCAGCAAAGCCTGAAATAACATTTTAATTATGGAAAAAACAGTAGAAGCTATACATGGACTTTGGACATGTGTGTTTGAAAAACCTATTCTTCAGCAGACTACTTAAAGCATTGCAAGAAGCAGMGATGGGRTGGGGATGTATRTAAAAATRTGTTTCCATATGATCTCTTTGAAGAAAAAGATAAATTAGTTTTCCCATAAAAGCTTCCTCTGATGAAGGAAGGAATGGAATATTACAAGACAATGTCAGTACCAAAATGAAGATTTGATTGTGTTGAAAGTTCAAGTAATCCCACATCTTTAACCGATGCAACTGCAGGGTAAAGTGGTGGCTTGTATGGAAGCCCTCTTACTGGCAGTGGGTGTGACAGAAGACTTACACCAGTGTCAGGGTGGCTGTGGATACACAAGAAKGTGTGAAAACATCATGAACTCAGAACAAAACCCATGCTTGGTCACAATGCATGTGGGGAGTTGGCAGTCAGCTGCTGTTTGCATATTGTCATCCCTCTGTGAGACAGCAGTGAATCGTCTTCTTGCAGGTGATCCATTGCTTTACTGAGCTTGTATTGCACAACAGACCTGATCACTGTCAGCGTGGCTGGGTATCAAGTGCAGTTTTGTCAGAGCAAGGAGTTTCAAGTGGAGGGTGAAAGTTAGGCACCAATGTCTGTAGTTGCAGTAAGTACAATTAGTTGTTTTCCTGAAGTTCAGACATCCCTAGAAATAAAAAGAGCAGTATTAATTGGGAAGGGTCAACTTTTCTGAGTGACTTGAACTGGAGGATATCTGGAGATTTTGGCTTTGCTCTTTGCATATGTCRAAGGACTAGAACATTTTGTGCTGCTTTGCCATCCTAAGAAAGCATAACCCACAGATCCCCTTGTTTTTTTTTACTGTTGCAGAGAGGGAGCTCCACGAAGTCTTTGAGCTCAATTGACCTTATTTTTCGGCTTGACAGGTATTTAGAGAAGACAATCCGCTCAGCCGTGGAGCAGCATCTCTTTGATGTTCATGGCTCAGGCGGCCAGAGTTCAGAGGACTCTGAATCGGGGACATCTTCAGCCTCTTCTAATGTGTCTGCCAGGCAGAGGAGGCGACACCACAAAGAGCAGGAGGAAGCCCGGAGAAACATGTATGAGCCTGATTTCTTTGTTTTGGAAAGTATATTTAAGTCTACCCTAGCCATGTCTTCTTACCAAGGCAATGCTGCGTTGTGTAACRAAAGGCACTGACCTTTGCCCTGAGTTGGAAGTGCAAAGCAGACKGCAGTGCCTGTGCAGAGCTCCATTGCATCAGTTAGAGCTGGGAAATTTAGAGTTTACTCAAGATCATGGAGTGGGGCAAACCATAAGAATCTAGTGGGGTTATGCAGTCAAGTTTTCAATTAGAGTATTTACAACTGGTTACTTACAGTATTGGTTGCGTTAGTGGAAATTCCCAAGCAGTTGGCTCTGCTGCCTGTAACTTTTTTTTAGATAAAACATTGGGCTCAGCTGCCTTTCTGAATTTAGGATATCTTCAAAAATGAGATTAAGTTCCTCTTTTGTRTGTGGAGGCACAGCTTGTGTTTGGGTTTAGTGAGGAGACTTGGGAGTTTGTCTGAAATGAGAAAAATCTTTTTGATTAATCAGAATTTGAGTTTTTTTTTTTTTTTTAATCCATCCTATTATGCAGAGTCTCAACAAGATTTAGTGGTGAATTTCATTAAATGTCTGTCAAAGAATAAASATAACACCTATTTTTCCATTCATACTCCTGTAGTTGTGACATACATTGTGTGGCAGAAATGTGTTACCACCACAGCCTTAACAAACTTGTTACACAAGACACATCTGTATTAGAGAAACTGTAACTACACACTTTATAGTGTTCTGTTCTAATCAGTGCTTACCCCTCTGTCTGTCTGTAACACAGYACCAGTTCTTGTAAAGAATGTGTACACCTCACTGCAGTATTGGATTGCTAGGATTTGAAGTTGATTCCAAAATTAACATCTAGTCTCCTGCTGTTGTTTCCTGGATGCTGAATTCTATTGGATCTGTACCTTCCTGTATAAAGCTGCTTTTATACAGGTGCATAGCCATCAATACCTCGTGTTGATATTGCATCCATGGTATTTCCCACAATGTGTCAGTGCTACTTTTGTAAAAATATCTATTGTTACCAAAGGAAAAAAAGGTGCCCTTTTCAAAGTGAATCAAAATGCCCTGTAAAAGTGGCCTGGGAAACTGGCACTTGCAAGTCACCAAAGTATCTGGCATGAGCTCTAAAGTAGTTTTTCTTGTTAAGTAGCCCTGCTGACAGGCTTCTCAGGTAAGTAGGTCAGAGACTGGCTAGTGTACGTGTTTGGAAGCATATAGTACTGCAGGGCTTTTTTTCAGSGTTGCTTTACAGAGCTGCCTCTAGGTATGATTGACACAGGCTCAGCCCAGAAAGCTGGAACCAAGGCTTTAAAGCACATTGGAAGTTTTGAATGCTGGCTGTGGTTCAGATTGTTTTCCCTGGTTCCCTTAGGTCAGATWGCAGGGACTTCTGTGGATAAATTACCAAAACTGAGAATTCCTTTCAAAACTTCTTTGTTGTTGTTGTTTTGATTGTCAGTGACTTCACCTCCTTGCCTTGTGATGGATCACAAGACGATTTGTAATGTCACAAAATGGGACTACAGGCAGGAAGAGTGTTTTATCACAAAATCACATAGGTGGACTTCCAGGCTTTGAAGATTACACGATCTACAAGCTCTGTATGTGTAATTGGTCTGCTGAGGAGTTTGTAGAACTTCCATAAAGGCAAATGTGTTATCTTAGAAGCTTAATCAGAGATTTACAATACCTCTTTGTCTCTCGTTTCCACCAACAAAACCTGGAGATTCATTATCTAGAAAGCTACTGGAAGCTTCTGCTTTTGTTTTTGGTCTGAATACTTGTCATGCTGGCACTGTCCAGACACTGCAGAGTAACTKGTTTCTTATCACACCAGTGCAAGTCTAGATGAATTCTCCTGCTGTTCATGGAAGCAGGCTTTGGAGTGCACAGCACTCTGCAAGACAGCCACMCAAGGAGTTAGCAAATGTTCCAGTTTCAGTGTCAAGTGTGAGCAAACTGCCTTTAGCCTCTGGCAGGGTAATGACACACATTGTGTTTCTCGTGTTCCCATAGTGTAGTGATGGATATGTGCATCTTCACTGTTGRACAAAGTAGGGGGAAGACTACTAAAGTTGTAAATGGAAAGCTGCCTGCTGAAGGATCCAACAGGGCAAGCAAAGGCCTATGCCAGGCTTCTGGCAAACATGCACAAACCCTGGAAGCCCAGAGAGTCCCAGCGAGTGCATCACATCATGACTTAGGGCTGGCTGTCCCATACRCTTCCCAACATAGCAAAACAGTCCTCTCTCCCACCCATTGCAGAGATGCATTCCCTTTTATGTTTTATGTAATTCCCAAATAGAAATCAAGCATTTGGCTGAAGCACCACACTCTTGCATTTGAGAATTATGAGTAAGAGGGCCAATTATGCGCTGTCATGCACCAAGGGAGATCCTCGGACCTCAGCTGTGAGTCACTTTTCTAAATTAAAAGCACGTGTCTTAAAGGAAAAATACGCTTCATACTCTCTTTAAAAATGCCACAAGGCAGCCAGGGGCTAGTCCAGCTTCCATGTGAAGGCTTCTGAGTGTTTGGTTTAGTAGGAAGTAAATCAAATCCCAAACATTGATCCTTACAACTTCCCCATCTGAAGTGTAAACACTTGGCTTTCATTCCTCAGTGGGATTTAGCATTGCAGAGTGTGTTTTTGGCTGCACTGGGAAAAACCAGAGATACTGGTTTCATAGGGAATAGATKATATTGCCAGAACTCTGCCAGAATGATGTGGTTCTCTATTGCTACCATAAATGYGGCAAGAGAGTGTTTTTAACGATCTCTTGTAATGTCCCTTTTCTTTTCAGGGAAGTTGTCAACAAAGAAAACATTCCCTCTGGATTCAGCAGTCTTGAAGATTGTATTCTAGCTGCCCAAGAYGTAGAGAAATTACAAGACACCAACTCTGGATACCTTAGTGAAAGAAATAAATCAAAACGGCAGAAATCCAGCACTAAGCTTTCAGAGCTTAATGACAACCAGGACAGTCCTGTGGTAAGCTAGCATGCTGTACTATTTGATGTCTATTACTGGATGGGAAAAACTCTTACTTAATTTCAGTGCAAATCTGGTTCCTTTAGGTAGCCATTTTTTGTCTGCAGTTCAGACCTAAGTGCCTATTTTGGACTGTGAGAAGCACTGGATCCCTTGTAACCCTTGTGATGAGACAACTGAGAAGCCATATTTCTGCTATGATCCTCTTACTCCATGTATAGTCATTTTCTCTTTGTACAACTTTATGGTTTTTTTTTTCTTTTGAATTCAGTGAAGCATTTTGGAAAGCATAACAGGAAACGGGGTCTTTTTTCAGTCTTTCAAAAGCCTTTCAAGAATTTTGGAACCTTAGATGTAGGTTCTCACGTTCAGGTCAAGTTTRTTTTTACATTCTTGCTGACTTCTGGAGCTAGATTTCAAGTGATCTCTTGATAATGAGATGGCAAAGGTGTTTTATGCCTTTCCCTAAAGCCTGTGTTTTGCTGTGGTGTTTGCACTTTGGAAAACGCTTCGGAGTGTGTTGGTCCAAAAGGTGATCCCTCCAGCCACCTTCTACTGAAGACATGAATGACTTCATTATAACGTCATAAAAATCCGGAATACTGTAGAACTTCCCTAGCATTTTCTTGTGTGACCTTCACAGTAGAAGACAGTTTGCTAACTTCTACAAGAGGTAGAATAAAACTGGTGCACCCTCCTTCCCTTTTAGCCAAAGCAAATGCTGGTTGGAGTCTCAGCAGCTGAGAAACGACACGGTGCTTCAGCACAGAGTCTTCATGCAGTGGCAGAAGCGCTGTGCATGTACTAAGCATGCATTTCACAATAACAGCAAAAGCCTTGAGCTATAGGGCATTTCCTTCAGTTGTACTTGATTAAGTTTTAGAGCCTGCTGAAAGTGAGTTCTTAATGTGACCTTTTGTTTGGACTCATTTTGTTTAGGTCATAAAACCGCAATGATCTGATGCTCTTACCCTGTGCTGAGATTCAAGAGAGAGGTGGATTTGCTTTTCTTCATGATAAAAAGAAGGCAAGATGCCAAAAATTGTACACTGTGCTTAATTTAGTAGCTTAAATTTAGTACTCAGTAGCCATAATYCTCTCATGTGATACTTCATGAAAGCAGAGTGAGATAGATGCATTCACACTTCTGTCTTTGCTTGTAGCGATGCACTTTAAGATAGGCCAAGGTCTAGTGCTTATGATCTTTTCAGCAACTTTTCTTTGTGCCTGTGAAGTGTAAAGCAGTTTCAATGTAAATGAGAATTTTTCTCAGGATTTAGGAGCAACTGACGGAAGTATCCACTTTTGCTGTGGACCTGAAAAGCATTCATGAAGCCTTAAAATGTTCCTAGAAGAAATGTCCTCAAACTTATCTGTGTGCACTGGACTTTACCCCATCCCTCACTTTTGGATCTCTTGAAGGGCAAGGGCTGAAAGGAATGTAAAATGAACTGATCTTGCATTAAAAGCACTTTGACCAAGATGCCCATCACTGTAGTTCTTGGTTGCTCTGCTATAGGAAATGCCACAGGGGGATGATCAGCTGTGAGTATCGTTATGAAACATCTTGCAGAGAGCATGGTGCTATTGTTTTGGAAGAGCAGAAGCTGCTTTTTAAGTTTTAATGAGTATGCTTATTCATAGTTGTATTTCAGAGACTGGCAGAAGGATGTGTGGTGGTTTAGCTTTCTTTTGGCTGCACCTTTACATGTCAAATAATAACCCCAGTTAGACTGCCTACTTGGAGTAACATGCACCTCAGCATTTACTAGTAGGCCTTTGTCAAGTTTGTGATGTTGTATCTCCTTAAACACCCTTTTCTGAGCATTCTTTCCTTTCAAGGCCTGAAAGAGTATGTAGGACAGTGTGTGGAAGCTTTCCTCTTAGCTGTCTGATTGCATCTGGCTCAAAAGTGCAAGTCAGCGGTGGAAAAACTGTCAGTTCCACTCAGTCTCCCGAGCAAACCAACCACAAAGCATTAAAAGCTTGTAACTGTGTTTCAAGGACATGGTAGCCAGGTACCAGCAGGACTTGAAGAATCAAATTAGGCAAGGCTGGAATGACTGACCTGTGTCACCACATGTGGCTGGAGGTGTGTAAGCAGGTGAGAGAGGGCTGTGACTGCCCCAAGAGGTCTGTGCATGTAGTTTCCAGAGCAGGAACCACACTTCCTCCTATTTAAGAGAGACTCACCCAAAACCCAAGGTAGAAAGCTTCTTGTGTGCTTGAAGCCACTTCTGTGCTTGAAGTGGCCACATGGCTTGTCCTTACAGTACTTGACAGTGTTTATGTTCTTATGGTAGCCAAGACAAAGCTCAGAACAAATGGCCATAACCAGTTGGATTTCTTGCCCTGCATTCATATTGGCAGTCCCTTTGCATTCCTATGCCTGTTTAAGAAGAAACTGAGGAAGGGTTTGGCTGAGAAGTGGAGCATTTTCTAATGTCAACTGAAGGAGTTCTGCTGAGAGGTTGCTGCAGATTTTGCTSTCTGCTCTTACAAGAGTTGCACAGACCAAAGAATTGCTCCCAAGCTTAGGCTGTCTAAAATGGGAGCTGGTGGGATTCCATGCAGCATTATTCTGTTTTGACATTTTGAGGTTGTCTAATGAAAGATACAAAGCAGTGAGCAGTTGGGTTTTCTTGCAGTATGGGGTTTGTTTTGTGCAGCAGGCAGTAAGTATGTGTGTTGTCTTTTTCCTAGACATCTTGTTGGATATTTCTGTATTTGATCTTAAGCTTAGATCTTAAGCAGCTTAAATCTGTTTTTCATATATATATCTTACTGTTTTAATATTTACTGTGTTGCAGAGTATGGAAAGCTTTAGCTCATCCAAGCCTGTAGAMAGAACAGGACCTGATGACATGGAAATATTATCTGAAGAAAGGTGATTTTARTTTTACTTTTTATACATACATATATATGTTTTCCTTTCCCTGTGGTTGTAGTACAGCCTGAGATATTTTCCACCCAGGCTGTGGAGCTGACAGTTATGCCACAGAACAGATTACTCACSGTGTTAACTTCCAAGCAGAGCTTCATGGAGGCACTATGTGTGTTGTGTGGGCTTTGCCCTGCAGCACATGCCACCAAGGCTCTTTTCCCAGCCTGATAGGAGTGTCACTGAAGGTGCTGATATTGCAGACTTGAAAAGAAACCAGCTGTGAAGCACCTGAACAAGCACACTCCACACAGGACTGCAGGGCCTTTGTTACCTGGCCTCTGGGTTGGGAATCCAGCCCTTTTCCTTGTGTTTCACTCTTCTGTGAGAGCTCTACAGCCTCACTCTGCTCACCTGAGATGACAATTTCTCTCAATATTTGTTGGGGCAGTTGTATTGGTTTGAATTAAGGGCACTGGAAGTAAATGACATTACTGTTCTCAAATACCTCCTGATAGAAAACAAAAGAATGCATAGTTTAGCAGCTTGAAGCGCTGCAGCCTCAAGTGTCCCTTCCTTTATTGTGAGTTAATGAATGTGCAGGAGTAGCAAAAATGTAAAAACCTTTGTGTGCAGAAATCCTGCTTGGTTTTGTTACGAGACAGGTCTGGTTTTGTGTTTGTAATAAGTTGGTTTGTTTTTGTTTTTTTTTTTAGCAAAGAAAGTGAAAATGATGAGGTTTTTTGCAGGCACCCTCAGGTTGGTATTTTTTCGTTGTTTTTGTGTTTCAGTTTTCTGGTCTCCAAAGCAGAAACAAGTAGTTATGTGTATAGTTCTGTTTTGCACAAGAGAAATGGAGTTAGCATGTACTTTTTCTGTCCYTTACCTCTGCTTTTCATTTGCATAGTTTAGGGAACCTCTCAGCCATTGGGGAGTCTGATAGCTACTGCTTCAGTCCCTTTGATCCCTCCTTGCCAAAAAGGAAAGAATCMCTCAAGTCAGCACTGTGGTTTAAGTGATGTGAGGTTCCTTTATTAATCATGGCAAACAGGGCATCTGATTGCTTATCTGCCAGGGTAGTAAGATTAGCTTGTCTCTCTTGATTTCTCTAAAATAATTTCTTCTTTTATTTATCATTTCCTAATGCAGCCTGTTGCTTTTGAACATAGGTGTCTGTAATCCATTAGTTTTASAAAACTCAATCACCTGCTGCTTCTTTCTAAGAGTTGATGGCTGGAATGGATGACAGGAGGGGAGATGTGACATTGATGGCAACAGTTTTTCCCCCTACTTTCCATTTCTCTTACACATGCACAAACACTCTCATACTTTTCTGCACTGGCTTTATGGTGTTTTTCATCTCACAGTTAAACAAATCAAAGATTGGGGTTGGGTTGGGTTGAACCCCTTTGCAGTCACTGGTTCATTTGGGTTCGCTCAGAGCACCTCTAGACAGCCAAGCATTTAAAATACTGGGGGGAGTTATCTGAGGCACCTCTCCCTCAGTTGTGCACSCAATTTTAAACAGGCACAGTAAAGCAGCAGTAGCCACTGTCTGGTTTCTYTGGCTGTCTGGAGTTGACTGAAGGCTGGTARTATTTTTAAGTTAGACTCCTCTTGYGTTTCTTTTAAAAATAAAAGCCACTGTGCATKTATTGCCTTTGAACACTTAATTTCTGGTAGGAATTATTTCCATCTAGCAGGAAGGGTAAAAGGTTGCTAGCAGCTGAGCTYTGACCAGCTGTGTTGTAGCTGGCAAAGTTCATGGGACCCTGAAATATGTGGTGCCTGCAAAGGGTGTTCAGGGCTGCCTTTGATCCGTGCTCTGACTGGGCTTACATGGATCTCCTGCTTTGCTCCCAGAGGGTCAGTAATCCCCAATGATCCTGCACTTGCTTGTGAGCTGTTGTATTTTCTGGAGCCTAGATTTCACAACACCTTGTTCCTCACGTACCCGCTTCCGTGTGGAAAAGGTGCTGTTGCTGCCATGCACTCTTATCCATGGACTCTTACTAAGCTTTTAAATTCGCCTGGTGAAGATGCAYTTGAATATGAAATCATAATCTTAAAATAAGCTTCACTTGAGGAAAAGTTTTAAAGTGTAAAATTTTAACTGCAGGACAGGATGTTAACCCAGAGATTGTATTATATAGGAATTACAAGGTCAAGAAAATGTTACATTCCTGCAGATTGTTTTACATTCCTTGCCCCTTATAAGCCTTTTGCTTAGGGCAGCTTAAAGACATACATTTCATAACAAACAACTCATTCAGGTTGAGGAAGGGACAGGGATTTATTCTTTTCTCTTTCTCACCCTGTATCCAGTCTGAAGATATTAGGAAAAGTATTCAGAATCTGCCATAGTTGTGTTATGACCAGTTATGCTGACTTGGGTCTCCATGAGACYGTAAAAATACCTTGAAACACAAGCTCCAAATGAATTTTCAGTGGTTTTGTAACCTTCATAATCTGCCCTTGAAAGCAGCTAAGTTCCAGAATGAAAAACACAGGTTTCTAGTACCYAGGTTTTGATAAGGGAAAGGTATTTGAGATTCATACCAACATGGCAACAAGTGTAGAAGTGTGTTGGCATGGCTCACGTAGGAGGAAGGCAGCAGGCAGGCTTGTTCTTCCATCAGGTTGCATTCCTAAGATGTGCTTAAGGATGCTTCCTGCTCACAGCTGTAATGGAAGATCAGATGTAGGGGAAGCAAGGCTTTTATATAAAACTGATTGGAATCCACATGCAATTGAACAGAATACAACTTCCTGACCAGAATTTAAAAGTCTTTAAATYTTGCCACTTATTTCTTGCTGTTTGAGCTGCTCTTTATGCTGAATCTCCACTAGAGCAGGCAGAATGAATGCAGCTGACTTATCCCCAGGCCACTTAGATCTGTAGTTACTGGTGCCTGCAAAGCATGGCTGCAGAAGCAGCTTCTAAAAAGCAGAATTCAAGTACCTGCATTGAAGATTTTTTTTGGTGTCATTTATGTAATATCTGCAATGAACTGTGACTGCCAACTGTTACCAACATCATCAATTTGTTGCCCCTTTGGTTTGTAAGAAATTGTGGCACATTCATACCTAAAGTAAGGTAGTTCTCCCTTACTTGATTCTTTTCCTAGAGGTTGGCAGCTAGTGGCATCAGGAAATCAAAAAGGAAAATAAGTGATGGGAATACTGAATTATCAACCACTCTATGGGTTTGGAGCATTAATGCAAAGGAAGTTAAACATCTGCTTTCTTGAGTCTCCTGGGTTTGTACCACCATTGTCCTTCAGAGCACCTAATGATTTATTCATTGTATTAGAGCCTACATCAGTGAGCAAGGAAGGGAGAGTAACTGGCTGCAGGCAGAGTACAGGCCTGTTTTTAAACAGCTTTTAAATATTCCCAGGAACTGAAATGTTGTGAGGCGGAAGAAGACATCAATGTGATCTTTCATATATGTGTATATATCTTTTATATATCTTTAATATATGTGTAATGGAAATGTTTACCCTTCTGGGAAGTGCTCTTATATCTGCTACAGATATCTTTYAAGAGTCTTAATAAGTCAGGAGATAGTACACTCTTCATAGAAAGACATTTATCTGTAATTACTATCAGGAGTGGCGACGAGATGGTATTCTCAGGTTGCTCCCTTTGAAATCATTAAAATCTAGGAATATTCCTCTCTTCACACCTCTTTGTTGCTAAGAATAGCGCCTGTTTTGAAACTCAGTGCTTTATTTCTTTCCTTGCCTTAAAATATCACCTTTAAATACCGTGCTGGCAATTTACAAACAATTTATCAACTGGTACAGTTGGCCACTGACCAGTCTTTGTTTGTGAGGTACACAGACTATTTAGATCCTGGCAGGAAATTTGTCAATGGACCTTAAAAGAAATATTTAAGTCCTCCCAACCTGGAAGCAGCTTAAAAGATAATGAATGGTGAATTAGCATTTTTCCATGTACAGCTCTCACAATAAACACATTTGTAATCAGATTTAGTGTCAAGCTGCACGAGTTATTAGTGCTTGGCAAAATGTCACCTAGTGTTTCATTTTGTTATAATGTTTCAAAAAGGTCATTTATTGAAATGAACAGGAAATACACACCTTACACAAATACAATGCAGAGCACTCTACAAATACCAGGGTATTCATCACCCAGGTTTCTAGAACCGTAGAATAGCCCAGGTTGAAAGGGACCTCAAAAGATCACCTGATCCAGCCTTTTGTGGGAAAGGAAGCCKAGATGAGATTATTTAGCACCCTGTTCAGTTGCAGGGATTGATGGAATTGAATCCAGATAAAAACATTATTCATATGATTTGTCTAATGGGCAAGTTTTTTCCTTCTTCATGAAATTTGCTTGTTTTTCTCTGCTCAAAAGGAAAAAAATGTACCAAATGCATCATCAGCTTTCTGCAGACGAAAAAAATAAACGTTCCTTAGTATCTAAGGACATTGAAGCATTTGGYTGTGCTTCTGGATGCACAAAGAAAATAGGTCCAGAAATACTGATTATTTTCTTTTGGCCCATTTTCTCCCTGTATCAGAATTGTTTACCAGATTTTCAGAATACCTGCAGGAGGAAAATCTGCATGCTGACTACCCACTAGACTATATTGGAGAGAATTATGCCTAAGCTGTTCTTAACAAATCCAAATAGTTTATGTAGTAACGTAATCCTGTCTATTCAGCTAGCTCCRTGTTTGTTGGTGGATTTATATGTATCACACTACATGTTTATGTACATGCACTGCACTTCCTTTTCGCTACTGCCCTCTGTGAGGTATTACAGCTAATTTCTTGTGGAGTGACAGAAGTGCTCATCTCATCAGGCGCTGTCACAGACACGCGCACTGTGTCTCTGGATTGTGGCAATGGCAGGGATTTCTGCATAAATGCACACGACGTGTGCTATGTGCAGGGGGAACAGCAGTGAGGCAAACAGCGCTTGCTCCTAGGTAGTACTAGCTGATGAATCATTTACTTGACAGCGTTCTGCTTTTTTGTTTTTTTTATTCCTAAGTCACTGGATGCTTGTGTGAATTTTTTGGCGTTTTCCCAGAGTCCACACTGCTTCCAGCTGAGATGCCAAACCCTACTGCCGTTTGGATTTGCGCAACGCCGCTTTAATACCCAGAGCTCCTCCATAAATAGTTCTGCTCTCCCCACGCCCAGCTAGAAAACAACCACAGGAAATCGGGGAATGTGCAGCCAGCACAGCTTAGCTGGCACTAATTGATCTGAGCCAGCACAGCCTGCATGAGAGCATTCATGTACGTAGCCTGCACTGCTGGCTGGCTGCGGCTGCTGCCTCAGGAGCTCGGGTGCCTGCCTGCTTTTTACAAGGCTCCATATTGCTACAGCCTCACAGCAGCAGCAGCAGCGTTTTTGTTGTTGCTCAGAGGAGTTGCGCTCCTGTAGGAAGTGTACGCAGCCACCTCCTCCCTCTCCCTTTCTCCCTGCCTCTTTGCTTCCCTCCCTCCCATTTCATCCCAATCCTCTACTGGAGGCTTTCTCAGCTGCTTGCAGTTGTCAGGGCAGGCAGTCTCAAGAACTTGCAGTAGCTTTTTAAAGAAGGAAAAATTCAAGGAAGGCAGATGTTTTTACTAGTGTGAGTGAGCAATTAGTACAAAGGGGTCAGCGAGCAAGGGATTTGGATTTGGAGCTGGAAACATCRGGGTCTGTTTGGATCTTTTTAGCTAAAGGCATGAGCTTACTGATGCTGTGATTGCAGGGGTTTTTGCCCCCCTCTGCATCCTGAAACGTTTTTTTTTTCCTTTCTCTCTCATTTTTTTGGGTGTTTGTGAACATAGCAGACTTCAAGCATGAAGATTCAAGAACATCCAAGTATGCCTGAAAACAAGTTGCAAAGAAATCAAGATGCTGATGATCAGGAAAACAGCTTTGTATCTGAAGTGCCTCGGCTGGATTTAACATCACTGTGTGATGACAACAACTGGGAAGGTAGGACTGTGTGATGGCTGGTTGTGTGAGTGAAATGAGAGGGGGAAATCTGAATGGGCTGCGTGTATCTTTATGTGATCATGTTCTCTTGCTAAAAACAATAGAAAAGCAACTTTGTCCCGAATATAGAACTGAAAGTTTGGAGAAACTGAAAGCAAATACTGAGCGGTATTAACTCTAATTGTCACTTAGAGAGAGAAAATGAAACGATTTATTCTTGAAGTTACTTTCATGYTCTGTTCAGTACTGTTAAGTCTCCCTGAGTGTTTCAAGATACCTTATTTCTTAGTGGCTGATCACTGGRTAATTAAGCTAGACTGCGCTACACTTCAAAGCAACTGGGTATTTCACAGTCTGAAAAGAACTTTTCTTCTTCTTCAATCACTGTTTGGAAATAATGATTCAGACCTGAAAAGCACAGCTGGTAAAAAATGCTGTCTGTTACTTCGTCTCACAAACGTTTTTTTTTTTTTTTTTTTTGTGTATGCTGTGAAGGAATTCTGATCACCAGCTCAAATGGCAGTGTTAAATTGATTGTATGTCAATTTAATATGTATTAATACTATTTCTTACCTCTCCTCTTCAGAGTGCGTGCTTGGTTGGCTATTTGCACTTACTCATGTAAGAGTGGGAACCTGGGCAAACTCTGTGGGTGCCATAAGCCTTAGTTTCATTTTAAATTGAGATGAAATTAAGGTGTCCAGCAGTTTTGGGATCAAACCCTTTTTTAGTTACAGAGTATATCTCCGCATACAAGCCGGAATTCTTCTGTTAGTTTATGCTTTAGGAGTAAAAGATGTGTTTTGACAGGGAAGAAGCAGGAAAACACAAGTGYGGTGTTTTAATAAAGCAAGAGAGGGAAAACGTGCAACTAACTCATTGCTGTAAAATAACAATCCCTGAGGAGCACTGAGAAGGGAAGTTCTCTGCTCCTGCCTCCACAGCGTACGTGACCTAGTATGTTTTGCTTTCCCTCTAGGAGGGCAGTAGTTATGACACTTGAGGCGTGAGTAAAGAAAACCCGCAGCCATGGCTGCCTTTGATTCAGCCAGGCAAGCAGTCACTGTGCRCAGGAGGGAATTTTTCCATTTTCTTGCTAGGTGGGGATTCCCTGGGTGGAATCGCCACACATGCAGCAGGGCTGATCAAAGCCCAGGGAAGGGCTCCCAGGAGGTCCTGGCTGCTGGRTGTTTATGGAGATGCCAATTAGCAGAGCCCTGCAGGGTCTCCAGCCCAGGGTGAGCACRTCTGCCTTCTCAGAGGTGATGTGTGGCTTCAGCTGTCCTGTAAACCTCCTGAAATAATGACTTTTTTTTTTTTTTCCTTCCTGCATTACTAATAGGAGTCACATGAATGCATGAAGGGGAGATAACTGCTTTCTGTCTGCCAGAGGCTTTCCCACTGTATTAAATAAGTTGCTTCTTTGGTACAGCTCCCTCTGAGTAGGCAYGCTCTCTTATGTTTGGATTCTGGCTTTCTTGCCCTGCAAATATGAGACAGGATTATGGGCACATGTGACTGTGCTTCTCTCTGATTCCTCCTTCCTCCTTTCTGTTCACGTGTATTTCACAGGAGGAGGAGGTGGGCAGTTGCAAAAGAATCAGCTGTCTGGGCTGAGAGGCATCATCTTCTGAAATACGTGCTTTCCAGAATCACCATTTTGTTGGTGTGGGTGAACAGCAGCAAAATGGTGTCTTCTGAGTCTCAGCAAAGAGAGACTGAGTCTTTCCTAGCTTTGGATGTGGACTCAAGCTTGCTGCAGCCAGGAAGGGGAACATCTTAATATCAACTCTCATACGGTTTCTGTAGCTAACGGCAGAGCCTGTTGTTGAGACTGGCTTTGCAAGGCAGGGTTATACCACCCATCCACCCCTCTGGCAACCAGGACATCCTCCCTTTCCCTACCAGCCAAGCTGAGTCACTCAAACCTTCACACATCTCTTCAGGATCCATGCTACAGCTCTGGTTGCATCCCCAGTGAAAAGCGAAAGCACTGTGCCTTCAAATGCCCTAACACTGAGCTGTTTATTGCTTTGCTCTTGAGAAATTACCCATTCTTTCAGGGGATAGTTGAGATTATGTTTGGGGTCAAGGCTCTCTATATCATACTGCGAGAAATACGCAGCACCCGGTGAGTAGGGCAGCTGCTGGGATTTTCACAAGTGAAGTGTGAGAACTATTAAAGGTTGAGGGCTTGCCTTCAGCTGTAGCTGTCACTGCCTCCAGTCAAATGTTAGGAAAGAGTCTTTACACAAGACAACCTTGTCCATTCATTAGCTTTAATTTGTCACTCAGACAGGCTCTTGATCGTTGAAAGATCAGAGCTGTCTTAAAAACCCTCATCCAGAGGCACAGAACTGATAACTGCTGCCAGAGCCCTGTGCCTTCCATGTTACATTTCTACTAGATTTTTTTTTCCCATAATGTCCAGTCTGTACACAAGAGCAGAGGTTTGCTGTACTTCTCCAGGCTGCGTTCCCTTAGCTAAAGCTGAGCACAGAGAGGACAGAGACATTTTCTCCCTGCTCCCCGCAATGCATAGCCTCACACTTTGCCATGTGCCCGCCTTCTGCATCCCCCTCACCTGCTAAGTATAGAGGCATGTGTAGGAATCATCAGGCTATTGACGCAGCACTCAGGGCTTGAGCAGTGCCCCAGCAAAATTCAAGTGCTGAGCTCCTTGCCTCAGTGCATTTTCTGTGGTCCAGGAGCGTTTTCCCAGTGTGTGTTTGGCACATGCGAATCAGGGTGTTTTATTGTCACTCTGGGTGTGGGCTGAGCTGCCCCCCTGAGCTGGGCTGTCACATYTGACTGCTGGGTTTGCCTGCTAAGCTGGTCAGTCAGTGCCAGCTGAGATGGCTTTGGGAGCAGGCACTTSCAGAGCTGCTTCCATAGCTAAGGTTTCTAATTGTTGCGGATTACATTTGAATCGGGTGCAGTGACTGAGGAGAACAGAGTGTTCTCTCACGGTGTAGCACTATTGTGCAGATTTCTCACCAAATGTTTCTAATTCAAGCCCAGAACTTGCTATCCTGTCCTCAAGGGAAATYTGGAAGTATGTTGCTCTCCATGGCAGCGGCTGGCCCTGTCAGCAGATTGGGCTGCGCAGACAGTTCGGTAAATCAATGGAATGTGTGATTGCTGCTGATGTCACCCGATTACTGACACTTTGAAAAAGTTCTGTAGCTGAGATTTCAAGCAGAGTCTGCAGTAACAAGCACTTATAAAACAATCTGCAGGCTTTTTTCTTCAAGCTTAACAAAAAAAAAACCCAACAAAATAATAAAAGCAGAAGTTAAAAACACGATTTGAGTTTGAGTATTGCAGCACTTGAGACCTGAGGGTGACAGTGTTGCAACTATTTGTAGACCAGTCACTTAACTGATATTTTCCCATGGAAATAAACCCCAGGGTAATGCAAAGAAATCTGTGCAGTATAGCAGAATGGAAGCTGCATTTAGTTTTATTTCAACAGTGTGGACTCAGATTGATCAGTGTATTTGTGTGTAACACTCTTCAGTGTAAGAAATCAAAAGGTGACGAAGCACCTTTTATTTTTATTACTAAGAATAGCAAAAAATAATTGCACTGTTTACTGAATAGCATCAATGTATAAAAATTGTTCTTTGAGTTGTTATGACATGCTGTAAACAAAATAAAAAGTTTGCTTGCTAGCTGAGAGATGTGTCATCTCACTAAGTGAAAAGGCGTGGTAGTGCTGTATTTGGGCCATTCTTTTGATCTACATAGGAAGAATGCCTCCTGATGTATTCAAACAAGGATATTTTCATAAAGTTATTTATAAGATGAAGAAAATAGGTTGTTACTGAGCTAGTGAATGCTTTGGATGCGGTTTTAAATGACTATTCATTTTGTTATGAGGGTTCTTTCTGGAGTCTTTCAAGTGGCATTTGATACTAGCACCTCAGGTGTTGTAATGAGTTTAGACTTTTTAATCCCTCTGGACCTACTTCAGTTTACAGTAGCTAAGATTTGGCCTCGTTTGTTCGACAGATGGGTGTGTGTAAAAGCAGTGTTAGCAGAGCATGTATGAGCTGTGTGGCTGCAGAAAGGGAAACAGGTGATGGCTGTGGCGTTTTGCTGGCTGCACTTCAAGTGGTATTTGTGTGTAGACACCCCTCTGTTGGCCCTGCAGCCCCCCAGTAACCCTGTGGCAAATAAACAATGTGGTGATTTTAATAAAGTCAGGTTTTTTTCAGCAAGATGGCTTGGAGCTAACAAATAATACACCAATTTGATATAATAAATCTTTCTTCTTGTGTGAAGGACTTCGTGGTTCAGGTTTATTAGAATGGTGAGCCCTGTGTGCAGCAGGTTGGCAGAGAGGCTGTATTGCCATAGGCGATGCTCCGTGTGCCTGGGGAGCTCTGCAGAGCCACACCTGGCAGATGGCTGACAGCTTTGTTGAAMGATGAGCCGCTTGTGGGATTTTGAGAGGGAGTGCAGCGCTTCTGAAGGACTGCAGGCTCAATAGCAGCACGCAGTTCACTGCTCCTGTGCCAGCTTAGAAAAGGCATACCTGAGAGAAATGCCTGGAGAGGCTGACCAAGGCACTGAACATTTTTTCACCCTTTCTCTGCACTGGTACAGCCATGGTGGCTAAACAGTTGTTGTCGTCCCCCCTTCCTCCCCCCCACCCCCGGCCCTTTTTGTTTTTTCATGAAAAGTTGTCATTCTGGAAAATGGAGCCGGGGTGGGGGGGGAACAGTAAGAAAGAATGTGGAGATGTGTAGAAAACTGAGAGTTTTCCCTGAGCAGGAGAGATCTGTTCARGACAGAAGAGGAATAAGTGTAGCTGCTCTGTCAGGTCAGTGGAAAGGAAAAGGTGCAACCTTTACGTTATTTACTGTTATTTTATTCTTCAATTAGCAGAAAGGGRAAAGGGTGACAACATTAATCGTGACAGCAGATACTTTAAAACTGAACTTCATAGCAGATGCTTCAAACCTGAACCATTCAGTCTAGAAATTTAGCAGCCTTCAGAAAAAGCTCAATGCTTTGATAGCTATCTTGGCTAAATGAATAACAAAAGATATTATGCATCCTGTTAAAGAGGAATTAATTGTGCACTGTCAGAAAAAGTAATAGCTTACCCTTGGCGGGTTGCTGTGTGTTTGTATGATCCAGCAATTCCAGTGCTTCCAGCTGAAGTGCCTGGCACTTGGCCAGCAGGAGAGAGAAKCAGTTGGACTGCAGCTCCGGTCCACTTAGTGATCTAATGTAGATAAAATCTGTAATTGTACATATCTAAATATGTTCCTTGATTAATTGCTGTGCTGCTCTCAGGGGTTTAGCGATTTTGTGTCTAGATGAGGCTTYGTTTTCTAAATATGTAGGATCAGCAAGGGAAACAAAATTACCCATAGGGTCAGGCCTTCAGGAGCAAGGGTTAAATAAACCTGATTTTCTGTRGCAGCCATCTCTTCTGTCAAGTCTCAAATTTCATCTTTCGTTTTAGGACTTCTTTTTCTTTTCCTTTTAAACCTTTCTCCATTGGAGTGGAATTTTCTGTTTTGGGGGAGTATTTTGAAATCAACAAAAYAGAAAATAGACACACCTCAGTCCTCCATTAGGTTACATAAAGTGCTTTGCTGTCTTTTGGGGTTTGATCAGAGGCTCTTTGAGCCATTGCAATTCCCTGAATGTCRCATGCTATCTGGTTTTAAATCCACCTTGGACAAAGTCACATGCATCATGCATGATTAATAATGGCTTTGTTAGCTGGTGTGGTAGGAGCTTAATTTAGTTACTGCTAAATATGCTTTATTTTTTTCTAAGTTTATTCCATCTGTCTAAATCCCATGGAGGCGTTATTTAACAATTTCCAAGAGGAAATTCTGTTTGGGGGTGAGAGGTACTCAAACAATTAGAAGTGAGAGATGTCTAGAAAAATTTCATGCATCAGTTAACTCTCACTCCTGCTAGTCAAATATATTCATTTTTTTTCTTTTTGTACTACCCTTTATTTTGGTGCGAGAGATCTTGTGAGACGCTTCCTAAAATCATGAGATTAAGGGAAATGGATGCAAAATATTCCACGYATTAGAAACTGGTTGAAGAGAGCTTAGCTTTCTTTTTTTCAGAAATTAACTGAAGGAAATGCATGTGCTTTCCAAGCCMTGGCAAAGCAGTCTCCATACACTTGGGACTTGCACACCCCATGGCAGTAGCCTCTGTGAACCAGGCTTGTGTGTGCWTCTCTTGGCACATCTCTGAGGGGCTCTTATGCAAAAAGCTCGTRCAAAAGCCTCTGCCATCCCTTTCAGGGTAGCACAGCAGTGTGCATGCAGCACCAGCCTCTAAGCAGAGGCGTGCCATTTATATCCATGTGCTGCAGAAGAAGGGAAAAGGAGAAGAGCATCATTTGGAGATGTGTGCAGGCCAAACGGCTCTGAGCCCATCGTTGCTGCATTGGCGATGATCTCGCACTGCCTGAATCGTACAGAGGKGGAATGTTAAATAGTGCAGAGGTTCTGCAGGGGAATCCTCATGTAATCCACTCTGAGCTGTGGGAATGTTAACCTTATTCAGCAAAAGGAAATATACTGCTTTTTATTATAAACTGATAACTTCAAAAGCCCCTTCCCTTTGTGAATGAAGAATAGACACACTAGGCACAGGAAACAATTAGTCCATAGCTCTGTGGCTGGTCTGGGAGCTTTCTGTAAGGTTTTTGTTTTGTTACTTGACTCTAGAACTATTTGTTAGATTTGTAAGTTCAAAGCCTGGCTCTTAGCACCACAGGATTAGACAGTTTAAGTAGGAGCATGCAAATCAGCTTAGTAAACTATCTGAACACAAAATGTTAGACTTCTTATGGCATCTGGAGGGAGTGATCACAAGATTGAGGCGATTGCTTTCTATTAYGCTAATCAGCAATGCTAAATTGGGTTTCCCTTTCTCTCCCACTTCACCACCTCCCTGAACAACATTGCTTTTACTTCTAGCTGGTTAGGTCATCCAGGGGGCTGAAGATTTCCTCACTTTTCTGCCATGCTGTAAACAGCAGGGTTGCATGTGAAAGGGAAAAGGGGAAACTTGGACCATATTAGCATAATGGTTAATATATATAGGCTGAGCACCCTGTGGAAMAAGTGGTAATGTGAGGCACTTTTTGCTTGCAGATTAGAAGAACCTATGCTTRCTCCTAGGCTTTGAATTTCCAGTAGCAGGCAACAGGGTCACATTGGAGTGCTGAGGCCTACAGGAGAATCATTAATGTACTATTAGTTTACAGCATTTGTACAAACTGAAATGGAAAAAAAAATCTTCTGGAATCCGATTGCCTCTTCTATATACCGTGTGCCAATAGTGCTCTCTGTCCAGCACAACTTTTCCCCCAAAGGTGCTAGCTGGTGATTGCCTTATTTGGTGTCAGTTCATGGGTAGGTTTTTTTTGCCTTGTCAGKTTTTGGGTAGTTTTCTGTTGCACCTAAGTATGTATTTGGGTAGGTTACCTGATGTGGTCAGGCTTTATATTGCTTTGCAGAGGGCAGAGGGAAAGTAGTGACCAGAGAATGCCTGGTGACAAGAGTCACAGTCCAGGCCAAGCAGGTCCAGGTTGATTAGAAAGTTACCTGGAGTCTSTTTTATGTATAAAACAAAGCCAATAAAACCAGCCTTTGTCTTACTGTTCCCAGAGCCCATCCCTGCTCTCTCCTCATGGCAGCGAGACGGCTTAGACTCAGATGAGGCTCGCCTTTCCCCGCAGGCCGGGCGCTTGATTCGGCAGCTTCTGGATGAGGACAGCGATCCCATGCTGTCCCCTCGCTTCTATGCCTATGGACAGAGCCAGCAGTACCTGGATGACACAGAAGTGCCTCCTTCTCCTCCCAATTCTCATTCCTTCATGAGGTGGGTTGTGATTTGCCAGTGCTGACTTTCACATCCAGCTGCAAAGGGTTTGCACAGCTGCATCAAGCAGCATCCCTTTGGATTAGCCCTGCCACGCTGGGTTTCTGTCCTTGCTCACAGGAAACTGATATTTTTATGGAAGCTCTTTGTAGTTAATAATTTCTGGGTTTGTGCATTAATGTATGGGCACCTGCTGTTGCTGAAAGAGGCTGTTAAATCCTCTTTTGCTCTCTGTCATTACAGAGTAGCAACATAGCATTCTCACTTTTGTGGCCTTTGCCTTTATTTACACAAAGTTAAAGTGGCCTTCTCTGCATTATGATGTACTGTGGCTGTTTGGGTAAGCTCTTCCTGCAATGTCTGCTCTTGGTAGGAGACGGAGTTCGTCTTTAGGATCTTACGAAGATGACAGAGAAGACCTTACCCCTGCACAACTCACCCGAAGGATTCAGGGGCTGAAGAAAAAGATCAGGAGATTTGAGGACAAATTCGAAGAGGAGAGGAAATACAGAGTGAGTCTCTGAAATTTAAGCATTAATGTGAAGATGTATGCATTAACAGCAAAGGGAAGGGACACCCACCAGAGAATTGGGTCAAACATACAGCGGAGCACCAGGAAAGTATATCAAACATACAGAGGGCTTGAAAGCTCTTATAAGGGGAAAAAAAATAAAACAAACCAAATCCTGCTGCCAGCCCAAAAATGTATCCACACCAAGCAAATTATTTTTGCAGTCTTTATGCACTATGCGTGCAGCGCAAGAGAGTGAGGCTAATAAACCCATAGGATTTGACCACTGCTTAAGACTTAAGTGTAGGAATAGCTATGTTAAATTTCTGTTTGTTTATTTATTTAAGTTCAGCATAAGGGAAGCACAGTTGTTCATCTCATTTGCATGATGGACAACTGTGCATTGCAGAGGAGAGAGCAGCTGCCTTCACTCCTGAGCAAGGAACCATAGTCAAGTGCTACTGAGCAGTAGAATGTACTGGACTCTGATATTGTTCCTGAGATGCCCTTACAATGCATTGTTTTTAAGGAACTAAAGCTTTGYATGTGTGCATTTTGGCTGTCTAAATGGCAAGGAATTGTACTGAAAAGGTCTTACCTGCAGTAGAAAAGGCTGAAAGAAATGCTCAGAGCTTGCTGTAGCCTAGCATTTGGGTTATTTTGATGTCTTTGGATGGAAGGCAGCCTTCAGTGTGGTTACATGTGTCCTAATACTTCTCAAACTGTTCATGCCAGGTTTCCTCTATTTTAGAGGTACCTTCTTGTTAGGAAACAATAGACACAAGGATTCCAAGGTGCATCCGGCCCTCTTAGTCACTTCTACAAGTTAATCATTCTCATCAAATGTTTTGTGTTTTTGGAAAAGAAAATCCATCTCACGATGCCCCTAAGATAGTGCTGTGACAGACAGGAGCAATTAAAGCGAGGTCTGAAATGGGCTGGTCAGAAGTGTGCAGCTGCCAGTGTCTGTGCTGGCTCCAAATTCCATTGTACCCTTCTGTRCCACACACTTGTTTCAGTGAATCTCTCCTGGTGGTTTAGCACAGATTCAGCATGGCTTTTCTTTCCTCCCAGCCCTCCCACAGTGACAAAGCAGCCAACCCTGAAGTGCTCAAATGGACGAATGATTTGGCCAAATTCCGAAAGCAACTTAAAGGTGAGCAGCCACCACTGGTGCACCTTTGAGGGGCAGCTTGATTCTGCCTCATTTAGATTTGAACTGAGGCAGTGACCCTGTCACTGTCAAATTTTAAAAGTGAAAAATGACTCATCTTGCTCCAAACTTCCCTGTTTAGAGTCAAAACTGAAGATATCAGAGGAAGACCTTGGCCCTGTTGTGCGTCAGCGCAGCAACACKCTCCCCAAGAGCTTTGGCTCTCAGCTGGAAAAGGAGGATGACAAGAAGCAAGACCTGGCAGATAAATCTGCCAAGCCTGCYGTGGAAGTGACCCTTGACTCCATCCAGAAGAAGCTTCAAGAGAAACGAGCAGAGACAAATCGACCTGAAGACATTAAGGTACAATCAAGACCTGTCAGATTTAGGYCTTTAAGTGCAAGCAGGTAACTTGTGGCTACACAGTCACTTGTGAAAGCACTGCAGTCATCTATGTTTTGTTTAAAAGTCTGCAGCCTCTAGTCTGGGCTCACTTGCTTCAGTTCCTTTCCCTCTRCCTTCAGTATCTTGATTTTTTTCAGAGCTCAGTTTCTGTTGTATGTCATCTTGTGTTCTTTGTATTTTCCAAGTAATGTTTCTGAGTTACTGCAATTTTTCCCGCCCTGTGTTTGGTTATTTCTGTTGCCACATCCAAAGGCTTTTGSCAAATTCTGAGATTTCCAGTGCTTCTAGTGGTTGTGTCATCTGTTTGCTTYTTGTTCACTCCAAAGCTGAGTGTTTTTCTCTCAGGGTGTGTTATTGCTACCCTTCAGAGTTTCACGCTGAGCTCTGTTAGTTGCTCTAATCAGGGGTTATCAGCAGGGAGGTCTTCGTGTCTGATGTTGTGAGCTCTTGAGGCCTGGGCAGCCTTGTRAATGAAGTCCTTGAGTCTGCTGACATGTAAATTGTGCAGTTCTGTATCAAAGCAAGGCAGACAGCATTGTCTTTGTTTGCTAGATGTGCAGAAGAAAAACATGTGTGTTTTGACTATTTTCTGATTGTAGCAAGAATCCACAGCCTGACCTCTTATAGATGGACTATAAATATTTGGTGCTSTGATAGGGAGAGAAGGCTTGGTGTCAGGCAAATTCAGTGGGGGAATTTTGAACAACTTCAATGTTGAAATCTTCTCTGTCTGCCCCTTTTTTTTGGCTTTGTCCTTTCTTGTCTGCTGCAATTTTTCACTCCAGAAGAGAATTGGCAGAAWGAGACAGTCTGACTGCACTTCAGTTCTTGGTAAAGTGTGTTTGTGAYAGTCAAAGCAAAGGTGTCAAGCTTTACAAGAGGTACTGGATTTTGTCTCTGCTTGGGAGAAAAAGGATGGACATGTTCAATTCTGTAGAATTGACACTACAAATCTTAACTGAAAAAGAGCCATTGCCATTAAAAAATGTCTTTTTTCAAAGCACATTTGTAATCTGTAAATCCCCCTTAGGTGCATAAAACACCTTCATATGCAGAGTTTGTGTGTTTAATCTGCCTGCATTGTGCATAGGGTTTTACTCACATTAACAGTCTCTTTGGCAATGTGCTGGGAAAAGAGAATTGGAAGGCAGAGATGAATCTTTAAAATGTAGTGATGGTAATACACGACTTTGGTTATGGCACAGATCAGCATTTTATGAGTCCAGGAATCTGACTTTTTTTCTTCCTTTTCCTCTCTCTGTACCACTTTTTATAGGACATGACAAGAGATCAGATAGCAGCTGAAAAAGTGGCTCTTCAAAAAGCTTTGTTGTATTACGAAGGCATTCATGGCAGACCGGTATGTACTGCAGCGCTTTTTTTTTTTTTTGGCTTTTTCCACCCCTCCGCCCAAAGTACATCTTTCTATGTCTTTTCCTGTGGTAAATGATGTGGTAAATGATGCCCCTAATGCCCCATTGATGTCAGGTCAGTAGAACTGCTTGCTCTCCAAGCCACACATGCACCCTCTAATCCACTTCTCTGATCCTTCACTTSCGCAGCTGCTGAGGAGTCTGTTCCAGGCAGGGTGATGTCCTCACACRGCAGGGCTGGACAGACACCTGTAGCACAGAGCCTGCAGGCTCAGTGGGCACTATTTTGGCATTGTGCTCTCCAGGTTCCACAGCCATCCAGTTTGTGACCCAGTGAACAGTCTGCACAGGAATAGTTGTGCATGGTCCCACATCCTGCCAGGGAGTTTGCAGTTTCTRGTATCAATGGCTAACTGGGAAGGCACCTGTATATTCATTGCACCTTCTTAGAGGGGCTACAACATGTTTCACCCAGTTCCTTGCTTTTTGCACATCCTCTTAGGTCACAAGGATTCTGGAAATCCCTAAGCATTGCAGTTTCAGTTGAAAGGAGATGTGATTCTTTTCCTGAGAAACAGATGGGTTTTATCCATGTACCAGGAGAAGAGTGGTGTAAGGTTTCTTGTACCTTCAATCTTAAGAAGGGCAACTTATTTGTGAAGAYCAAGAATTAAGTATTGTCTTCTGTTGATCCCTGCTGTGGCAGAAACACAGTGGCTTCCAAGCCACCACGTTGGCTTTTTATGAGTCTCTCCTTCTCTTYCACCGATGACATTATAATCTTTGCTACCAGCTGTATAGGTAAAGTAACTTAATTTCAGAGTGCTGCTAATCCCTTGAGCAGTGGCTTGGGAGCAGCAAATTACTGCTTATAAAGAGTACTTGATTAGTGCAGCTCACAAATCTGTCATTCTGCTGCTGCAYGGGATTCCTGATCTTTTCCTTTTGAATTATTTCCTTCATTATCCATTGTTTTWAAAAAAGTCTCACTAATTTATATAAAGTGCCTTCATGGAGTGCTAATATTGTACAATCACATATACTAGCAACTCAACATGGCATAGTTATATGAGAGGACAGGCAGATTTATTCTTGTGTAAAATAGCAAAAAGGCAGCACAAGGGAATCCACTTAACCTCCCCTGTGTTCTCCATGAGACCAAGCTTTTTTTGCTGCTTTTACAATTATACAAATCAACAGTTGGCTTCTTACTAAACTCACTTCAATCTGTTTAAAAATATTACAAGGCCAGAGCCTATCTTGCCAGCATACATACCTACCCTTTCCGATGCTTCATTTATACAATACTTTTTAATTTTTGTTTTTARGTTAGCAATCTATACCTAGCAACACTGAACTGCATGGCAAGGAAGACTGATCAGCTTTTGCTGTTCCTGGCAGTGCAGCAGTGGAAAAGTACTGAGAGCTTGAGGAGAATGGGGATAGTTCAGCCAAGTTGTTTTTTTTTTTTTCCTTAAAGATATTTAACTAAACAAGAAAAACAATGGAGCTCAGATTTATTGTGCAACTGGGTCTTTCTGCACCAGTGATAGATGAACCTGCAAAGGTGAAACTGAGCTGTTTTAGTTAAGCCAGAAGTCTRTCTCTGCAGAAATTCTTGAGCTGCCCTAACAATGCAAGCAGTGGTCTGTTCTCAACTGCTGCTCTTTTGCCATGTGGAGTCTGCCTCAGAGTTGTGTCAAAGGCTCCATTATTCAAACAGTCTCTTTGCATTTTGATGTTCTCCCAAAATATACTCAGGTTTTACTGGTCTTATGTTTACCTAATGAGACAGTGTGCCCATGTACTAAATATTTACTTTCAGAATATGCTTTCTGTAAAGTTTGCTGTGTAAGTCTGCAGGGCAGGCTCAGACTCCATACACTTAACTTCCAATGCCTATATTAATTCTCTGTGTTGTTTCTCCACACTGATATTCAGACTGAAGGATGTTGTTTATCTTTTCCTATCTTCAGCATACCTAAGGACTTTGTGCCCATTCCAAGGGCTTATGTTTGTTTTTCTGTACGAACAGTGCTGTTAATCAACTTGGAAATGTTGTTAATTGAAGGTTTGATTCTCAGCCTCAGCGTAGTCTTGGTTTTTTTTTAAGTACCAGACTGTCTGAGCCAAYAGTAGTGTTGTACCTCCTGTTCCACAAACTGCTAATCTTGTAAAGCTAGGAATAATATTTTATATATATTTAGGTTACCCAGTTTCTCTAATWATGCTCCTGATGGGTTAGAGAGAATTGTCCAAAGTTGGAGGCAACTTGCTGGCCAGTGCAATTGAGTGCAGGCACATCAGCACAAAACTCAATACAAAGAGGGCTGAGTGAATTGTTTGATGTGCTCACATCCCTCTAATCCATGTGAGCTGCTTACTCAATGAACAGGCAGCGTGAGGCTGTCAGGAATTGGAGCCCTTCTGTGCTTTGGGGGTGTGGGGCATTTGGCCCCAGAGCTCAGACTGCCCATCTGTGTGCCYCTTATCAGCCTGGGGATGTTTGCATTGCTCCTTCTTCTTCCCTGTTCATCTGCCCCCAACACAGGGAGCATAGGCTTGGTTATCAGGAGGAAGATGCATGTACCTCCAGATCCTTAGAGTTCATCCCTGCTGTCCCACTCCTGGCAATACTTACAGCCTTTCTGCCCCTCACAAGCCAAAACCCTCTTCTCTGGAGGGAGGATGTAAAAGCTTTAGAAAGATTACTCCAGTGAAAGTCAACTGCAGACAAAATAACAGGCAGTTCCCTTTAAAATTTCCTCCCTGTCTCGAGCTATATTCCCTTTTTATCCTATTTGTGTTGTAGAAAGACTGCACAAGGGTCCCTAGGGGTTACGCTGTTGATRCTGATTTTTATATGGCAGTCACTCAGGTGCTCTGGTGATTAACATCACTAGAAAGGCATGACATCAGTTAAAGCTTCCTCATAAGAGCTTTATAATCTAAAGTTAGACAAAAGATCTAATGGAAGGACACTTATAGGACGTGGGTCAGACACTAATGAATGATGRTCAGGGTTGGTAAGGATTTTGTTCGTTTTCTATCGTGCTGTTAGAAGAAATAGAACCTAACTTGAATCTGAAAGAAAACCAGAAAGGAACATGCTCATTTTGTAATGCTCCCAAACTGGGCGAAGAATGCAACAAGGGAGTAGTGGAGTTAAGGACAGAGCACTGTAAGGAACACCTGAGGCAGWTGTCACAGCACTATTCTGTCTTCTCTATGCCACACAGCCCTGGCACCTTCAGTCCCTTCTGAGCATTGTGATAAATTCTTCCAAGTGAAGTGGCTGCGAGGAGGGGTGGAGGGCAAGATTAGGAGGTTAAAAAGATGAGAAACTGCTGGMTTGGACAGGAAATTAGGAGGAATAGCAAAGCCAGAATGTCAGCTTTTGTGAGATCTGTAGTTTGACCTACTCAAGGGAAATCTCCTCATGTTGCAATATCCAGTCAGTGCAGCTGCTTTCTCTTTCCATGGGTCATAAACACAGCCATTGAGGGCCTGCCACAAGAACAAGGATGGGAAACCTTGTTTGTGCCTACAGTGGCAGACGTGACTGCAAGCAGAGTGCTGTCCCTGTGGGTCATTTTGTGCTGTGGACATCTGATACCTAATTGGTCACTTAAACCCCCTGTCCCATACAGTTCCTCCACAAGACACCTCACCTGCCATCCCCATACATTTCTCTTCAAGGCCYTCAGACAGAGGGTGATGACAGTCACATGAGTTCCAGAGTGGAATATCTGCTGGAGGCCTCATGGATCTCTCTTCRTTTTCCTTTTCAGGTTACCAAAAATGAACGGCAGGTGATGAAGCCRTTGTATGACAGGTATCGCTTGGTCAAACAGATCCTCTCCAGAGCCAACACCATCCCTATTATTGTGAGTAGAGCATTCTTTTGGGGGCTGTTTCTTTGGTTTCAASCTGAGGAAGCAGGAATCACTACACTTTTGCATACAACATACTGAGGCTAAGTCCCAAYCTGCCTTATCACTCAGAGATCAAACAAATGAGTGAATCAATGACACACTTTATACTGAAGTTGGGCAAAGTGGCACAAGGGACTCTAGTGCCCACCTGTGAGCCAAGGGGCACATCTCACCTTGTGTTGTTTCTTCTCTTTCCATTGGGCTGCTGCTGTTATTTCATCATCTTCTGTTTGGCTACAGCCTCACTTCCTTTTCCRTGCCAACCCCTGCTGAGCTGTAGGTCTTCCATGCTGCTTGGTTCCACAGGGTTGTATGTAAGGAATTCCTGCACACAGGAACACGGACTTGAGGAGATCCCACAGGAGATGCCAGGCACGTCCTTGGCTGAAAGAAAGGGCCCTCAGTCTTCTAATACTTAATGTCTACTGAAGGGATCCTGCAAGTGGTGGATATTCCCTCATTCAGAGTATTGCTTTGTCACTAGCAAGGAATCCAATACACCCCTCTAGGGAGAAAGTTCACCATCTCTAATTTTAGATGGCTTGTGTAGTCCAGTTTTTAAAAATTATTGAATCTAAAAAACCCATACAGAATACTTCAAGCTTGTCTATGGAAAGAGAATTCTTTTATCACAGTTCCTGTTTACTCTGTCTGTCATGTATGACCCTTATTTTGCTTTCCCTTTGAAAGACTGAGTATTTGCAGTGCTCATGTCCTGCCCGCTTACTATAGACAGCCAGTGAAGTAAATTGGCTGGCACAGCCTTACTCATTTCACTGTCACTGAGAAGCTGGGCTTTTTTTCTGCAAATACTGGGAGGTGTTCCTGATCCTGCACTTAAAATAAAAAGCTGTTCCTCCTGAARTATGCAAAATAGTCCCCAAAACGTGTGCTGTGAAGACAGTGCTGGCAGTCAAGATGGAGGAAACWGTGTAGGTGTGCATGGGCAGTTTAATGCAAAGCTCTCAAAAAGAGCTCGGTCCTATTTAGACACAAAAGTGAAATTTCACAGAGGCTAGCAGAGGAGAGATGAGACTGGTTTTTTTCCCAGTCTTCTGAGTGAGGACAGTGAGAGGCTCATAGACAGGATACATTTGAAAATCCATCAGTAGACACTTCACTCCCATATTAATGGAAATCAGGCTCCTGGAAAGCCAGTCTGGAGAGCCTAGCTGAGATTGTCCCAGCCAAATGCTCTGTTGTGTATGGGCTTCAGGCTGGGGATTATTTTCTTGCAGCCTTTGCTTTGTAGTCACTACCCAGCTGGTATTGGAGCATCCAAGTTTCTGTTTAAAAAAAGATTGGCAGTAGTGTCCTTTGCTAAACAACATCCTGAGAGAAAACAGCCCTACATTCAGGGGGTTTGCCAGGTGTATTTTCCTTCTTGGAGAAAGATACTTCTCCTGGTGGTCCAGCAGTGAGCTGAGAGTGAATGTGCGGGTGAGAATGAGCTGAGAGCAGGTGGTGGAGGAGRAAGGGGTTCACAATGTAACATACTTGTTAACACCTGTCACAGGGTTCCCCCTCCAGCAAGCGGAGAAGCCCTTTGCTGCAGCCAATTATCGAGGGCGAAACAGCTTCCTTCTTCAAGGAGATAAAGGTGAAGACCTCCAGCTGCTAACTAATTGCTGAGTTTGCATCAACTTTCCCCTTATACCAATGAAACAGAATGGTTGATTGATTGATTTTTTTTCATCAGTGTTGATTTTTTTGCAGTGTCCTCCTGAAAAATCAGTAGCTGCTTTAAGCCTCGCCAATTCTGATCAAATTCTTCCCTTGTTGTAGATAAGACTACAGTATTTCCCTGGCTTTGCATTCTTTCCTATCCTTCTCCTTTCCCCTCCATCTGCACATAATGTACTTTATTTTGCTTTAAAAACCAATGAAATCACAATTACCCTTGTACCTTGCTTTTTTTCTTGCTTTGCTCCTTTCTTTCAAAAGACACTAACTTGTTCTGCGGTAGTTTCTCTCACTCCCAAGCTCTGTGGCTTGCACTCAGCACTGTGGCAGGAATGAGCTCTCACAAAACTAACCCTCGCACATGGAGCCACCCGGGGCACTTACAGGATCCTTACCTGCTCCCWTCCACTTATTTTATCCAGGCTCTTTTTCACCACCTTGTGCAGGGTGATTTTAACTTTGGTGACATGAGGGTGGAAGTAAGAACAGCTTGGTTCTGCTGGTTGATGCTTGGTCAGATTTGGATGGCAGGATTGTTGTGTTTCTTCTTGTGCTGCTGTGGAGTGATAATTCCAGGTGGGGAAGATTGCTACGATGCAGGGCCTTCCCTGAGGAATAAAGTCCAACAATGGACTGGGACACCCAGTGTGGAGCTGGGCYCTGGCTTACTTTTAGTGCCCCTGCAATGTAGCAAGGGAGAAAAGTGCTTCAGCACATTTGGGTCATTTATCTGTTATCTAGCCAGAGCTTGGTGAAGTGTAAATACTGCAGACTTAGAGATCCAAGGTGATTTGAGTCCAGTAGATTGTATATTAATGGACTGTTGGAGGCACATATCATTAATACCAGATTGCAGACTGAAGATGTTAAGCTGCTGTTTGGAAGCTGGTTAATGATCACTGAGCTTCTTAGTATTTTCTAGATAACTGCTGGATCAAATCTGCGGTGCTGGTGTGGTGGGGAGTATTTTWGTTTGTTTCTGGTTTGTTTTTCTYCTATTAGTGTGTCCTCTGTTTTCCACCTCTGCTTGCACCCAGTGTGAGAACTTAGAGCTGTCAATTGTGGTGATCTCTAATGGCCACCACAGACCTGGTGCTGTGCCAGGGCCACACCAAACCAGCTCAGTGTGTCCTGCAGGGGTTTCTGGAGCAAGATGACAGCCTTAAGCCTGTTAACACTGATGTGCCTAKTAACACTTACATGGGGCTCTGTGAAGCTGCATCTGGCAGCTTGGTACTGAGCTACACTCAGAAGTAATGAGAGAAAATTCCCAAAAGGCCCAAAACTTGGCTCCTGCATAGGTCCGGCATGGGCAGGGAAATATTTGACCCCTGGCAGTGTCAGTATTTGGATGCTTCTGGGTGAGTGTTTCTTGAAGCATTTGGGAGAGTTGACTWAAAGCTTGAAAGGTGTTTTGAGGTGACCTTACCAAACATTTTGGTACAATATCTTGAATGTTGTGTTGAAAAATTCATTGGGATTTTTGCTKTGTGGTAGTGYTGATGATAAGATACTCTRGGGATTTTASATTTGTAACTCTGGAATGCCTGATRTTTGCCTAMCAATCMAAAAAAGTGCATGCTAAATGAATCTAGTTGATAAAGATCATTCTGGTTCAAAGTGTAAATGCTGCTGCAGGTTTAAAATTAGGTTCCTATGTGAGATTTTTTTAAAGGGAAGGCCTTAGAGGGCCTTTTCTGTTTGAGTTCTGGCTAAGAATCTTTTAAATTCACTCTTTTGTATTTAAGAGCAAAATGATTTATGAGTTCTTTAGACAGCCAGATGCAGTGTTTYGGCTCTGAGGTCTAAATGAAATTTCTACACTTTCTTTTCTTCCTGCGGGCTTCCCATGGCAGGAGCTGGCTCCTGAGCTCCTCGCTGGCTTGGGCATCCTGCAGCAAGGCAAGACAGGCTCACAGCCATCTGTGAGGAAAACACCTTGCATGTGTCCCCAGGAGCAGCTTGTCACACAGCTTGTGGGAATTGTCCCTTTGCTTTCTTTCCAGGAACTCTCCCAAAACAGGGCACGGGAGCTCCTCCTTTGTTGCCAGAGAGATTCCCCTAGAGCAAAGTGTGCTGTTTTTACTGCTTAGACCGGCATAGCAAATCCTCCTCCACGCCACAGCAGGATCTGTGTTCTCCTGCTGCTGCTACCCTTCCCAGTCTGGGCAGGATGGCACACTTGGGGACTGGGAAATGGCAGCAAAGGATGGTGTCCCCTCCCCAGTGCAGCCTGGAGTTGTTGGCAGGGTTTAGGAGCAGTGTGTGGTGTGGTTTGTGTCCTCTGTTTAAACTGTGCAGCTGATGTCTGGAGAAGCAGCTCCTGTCTCATCGTGTGTTAAAGATTGTTGCAACTTTCASAAGTTCCCTGCAGATTTTCCTAAGATGCATTCAAACTTCTCTATATCTTTTGTTATTACTGCTGCTGAAAAATTCTTCCCAGATAATGTTTTTTTCACCCTCCAGCCTCAGTCTTGGTTGTAATTCTCAGCCTGTGGCTTTGCAATGCATTATCMTGAACTAGAGCTTTAACTTTAAAARAAAACTCTGGGCARACCATSATTTRATTTTAATGTATGCATTCATAAATCATTGACTTTAATGGGACCAAGCCAGGTCCTGGTGTTACTTTCTCCCTGTCTGCTTGAAATATTGTGAGCAATCTCTTAAGAATAATTGAACTATTCAGAAGGAATTGCAACAAAAAAAGCCAAGAAAATGTCTTCTTTTAATCCCAGTGCTCCCTATATATTTTTGTCTTGAGGACTTCAGTTATATTAGCCCCCAAAAGCTTTTAAAGATATCCTTAATCTTTGGTTTAGATCTTTGCTGTCTAGAGTTACATGGCTGTAAAATAAATTTACACGCACATACATTTGTACATACATACATACATATTTTAAAGATTTAATCTCCATGCTRGCATTTGCCACTTTCTCTAAGTAGCCTCATTCCTTATATTAAGTTTGAAAAACTGCCTTCTAGAAATGTCTCTGTACATAAGAGACTGGGCCTTGTTCCCTGATAATTAAAATTATTTCTGGACAGTGTCACAGAACAAGCCCTACTTTTGAGAACGCGGTGAATTGGGAATACCAAGTGCAGTAGGGACTTCCAAATCTCATGCCTATAAATTTGTTAAAGAAAATCGGAACACGACCAGTTCATCAGTGTGCCTTTGGGAAATRGGAAATTGCACTGTGCAGAGTTTCCACTCCAATTTTTAGTGTATTGCAGCTAAATGGGCAGAGCTGATGTCGAGAACATGTTAGAAACACCAGTCCTTTTACAATCAATTATATCCCACATTTGGGTCATTTTAAGGATGATCTGAGCTCAGTGGTATCAATGTACGAGCATTTGAGGTCTTGAATTCAGCCATTAGAGAGAGCTGTTGAGCTGCATCTATTGAGAGAATATTCCACATTTTAGCCTGGCAGTCTCTGTGCTGGCAGCTGTGTTTGCAGGGAGACAGAGGGTGGCTGGGGTGCTTTGGACAGTATAACGACTGTAAGTGGATTTATTTACATCAGAGAATATAAACTAAACAAAGCAACAGGTTGCTCTGAACCCCAGGTATTTTTTTCACTCAGTGTCACCCTGGGTCTCCTTAACCAATCTGAAGTGGTGGTGGCAATTTCTCTGTCATGCTTTGGTTCTAGGGTGTCTTACTGATGGTCTTCTGGTGTCCTGTGTATTGCTTGGCGATTAAAGTGTTTGCTCTGCCTTTCCAGTTCTTTTCATACTTGTTCCCCAGTGCATGTGGTGAAAGGAAGGAGGAGCCCGTTTCTGAGAAGGGAAGCAATAACCTGTCTTGTTGTGGGGGTGCTCTGTCCCTGTGTGTAGGAGGAAGAGGAGGGGTCTGAGGAGGACAGCAATGTGAAGCCAGATTTCACAATTACCATGAAAACAGATTTCAGCGTGCGCAGCTTCTTGGATCAACTGGAAGATGATGCTGATGGCTTTGTTTCCCCGGTGGATGACAAGATGCCATCTAGGAGCAGTCAGGATATGGGGCTTTCAAATCTCCACGAAGCATCCATGTATGTTGGATTCACAGGCAACTTCAAAATGTTATTTCTTGCTCAGATAGCATTTTATTTTTCAGAAAAGTGTCTAGTTTTTTGGTTTGGTTTTTTTTTTTGCTGTTTATGATTGGAGCCAAAAGTTTTCATGTTTTATTTTTAAATGCAATAGACCTTAATAGGAAAGCGCTTGGCAAGAAACTGCCTTGTTCTGATACTGATACTTAGCTTCTGCATCTTTGGATTCTACCACTAAATAGTAATTCCACCAATGGCAAGCCTTTATCATGAAAATCCTGCACTCTGGAAGGTTTTTCAGGTTTTGGAGAGGTCAAGTGGAACTGGCTTTGCTCATTTCAAGTCTGATGCAAACACATGTAGGTGGTAGCCCTAAGTTGTGACCAWTGAATTTGATCCTATAAAAGTCACCAAACCCAAACCCATGTGCAGCAAGGAAGTTTTTAGAAGTTAGTGGTGAATTGTAAAATGCAGACTTGACCTCCTTTAGGTGCTGCAGCTTAAGGCTATGGTAATTTTGCTGAGCTAAATTCAGAGAGCTTTTTGTTTCAAKTAAAACAAGGCTGCCAAAGCTGCATGCAGGAGCAACTCCATTGTTTGGCATATGTACAACTAAACATCTGTATCTTTATTGTATGTTTCCTGTTATAATTGTGTTCATATGGATAATCTCATTTATCTTTCAACTCAACAGCCCTGAACTGTTAGAGCAGCTCCAAGAAGTCAGGGAAGAGAAAAAGCGAATCAGAAAAAAATTGAGAGACTTTGAAGATAACTTTTTCCGACAAAATGGAAGGTAACAATTTCTCAGCTGCCTCTCTGTTTCTCAGCTACTTTTAACCTGTTTTGGATCTACAGAGATCTCCAAATATGCAAAGTTAACCGGAATGCACTATTACATATTTTTTTCTTCACAATCATTGTTATTGCTTTACCCACATTCAGAATGGTGGAAGAGTTATTTAGTGATAAAATAATTAGGTTTTTTTCCTAGTGATACATGTTTAGTTTTCTATTTCTAATTTCCTATTGCTTGCCTGTGAGGTACTCAGACACTAGTTTTACCAAGTATTTCTGCTTTAGTGTAACTAGTTTTATTGTTTCAAGAAAATGTCCCTCATTAACCAGCTGATAGAATATTTCCATATATTTATTATCTTAAATTATTTTGTCTGTTTCTTGCCATCAGCCACCATCCTTAGGGGTTTTGTAAAATCACTGAAAACTTGAAGCTTTAGTGTAARCTAAGAGCAATTTGATCAACTAACCATCCTTCTTTTCACAAGTGTGCTATTTGTTTATGTGCTGTGGTGCCAGGCCAGAGGAGACTGTATTTGGTTTTGCCAGGCTCACAGGCAGACATTCAGATGTCTCCTGAAGTGTTTTTAAGCTGTTTCACAGAGCTGGCAATTTCAGAGAAACGGGGCCTGTTTCAAGTAGGATTTTGCATTTGGAACCTTGGGATTGTGCTCAGCTCAGCACACAAGCATCCCACACTTTGCTGGAGACTTTTGCAGTTTTTTTGTCTATTTTTTGGTTTTTTTCCTCTCAAAGGATAAATGTTTTGGTCTTGCTCCTTGATGAGGAGTGGAGGAGAGGAGCTGCTTTGTAGGTCTTGTTAGGGGACAGAGGGAGGCTGCTGAAGGAGGCTTCCTGTTACAGAAATCTTCATGGATGGTCTGCTTTCTCTCCCACTAGGAATGTGCAGAAAGAAGACCGCACTCCCATGGCTGAAGAATACAATGAATACAAGCAGATTAAGGCCAAGCTGAGGCTGCTGGAAGTCCTGATCAGTAAGAGAGATATTAGCTCCAAGATCATGTAAAGGAGGAGATTGTTTTTGCCAATAAACAAAGAGGAGAGAGCACCAAATGGACAAATGCATGAAGTGGATGCAGCGGGGGCCTGACTRGGGAGAGCTGAGGAGCTCCCTGGGAACTGAAGGGTCATTCCCAGAGGTGGGAGAGGGAGGAAAGGTGGATTTCTGTCACTCTCTACATTTGCTGTTGCCCACTCTTTCTCCAGGCCTGATGYCCAAAATGGAGTTTGCCAGTGTAGGAGACACGACACTGCGCTCAGTGACTGCACTGAAGGGATCCTTCTGTATTGATTTGCTTACAGATCATGTAATACTCAGAATATCAAAGCCAGCCATGCTATCCTTTTTTTTTTTTATCCCAGGATATTATAGCAAGAGGCCAACTAGGATTAATAGYAATGAAATCATCCAATAGCTTCTACTTTAGTTTATCAGACAGGTGCCCTGACTGATCTTATATGAAGGCACAGGTCAGGCAGCACCGAGACTGTTCTCTCATAGCTACAGTAAAGATTTGCTCCGACTTTTGACCTGACTGTTTGGAGTCCAGCATCTTCTGTTGCTCTAGAGAAATGCTGTAAGAATCTGCTGGTCATCAGCCAGAGCTGATGTGAGTTRCAGTTTTGCCAAGGCTTGAGTTGGATTTTCTTCCCACTGTTTTGATGGCCATTTCAACTGAAGTAAAAGGAAGTACCTGCATCTGTTTGGGGTAGTAATATGAGCCATGCAGTGAGGTTCTTAGCAGCTTGTTCTGCTTGGAGGGTGATACTCAGACATTCTGACCATGTTTGGGCAACAGGGAAGAGGTTTGAGAAGCTTTAAGTCAGAATCCCTTGGGATTTTGTTGGTTGGTTACACAGCTGGTGTCAAATATCTGGTGAATATCCCTTTAGTCAGTGTGCTTCATGGTGATAGAAATGCCTGAGTCCAAGCTGAACAGTCCATACAGGTGTCCCACAAACTCACCTGAATTTCCTTCTTTCATGCACATCACCCCTGTGTGGGCTGCAGCAGCAGAGGATGGATGGGCTTTTCTTCCCAGTGTAGGAGGTACAGCAGCCCAGAGGATGCTGCAGGGAACTGAAAGTACGGAGCCATGCTCTGCCTGTGGAAAGAGCCCCTGTCTTGGGTATCAGTTTTGACAATTGAGTGTTTTCAAATTCACTGGTGACTTTCAGAAGAGAARGTCCTGAGGTACCTGATTCAGGTGCTCATGGCAAACAGGTGCTGCCTGAAGGAAAGGTGCTGAGTTCAGGGACACCAGGTCACTGAGGGCTCACAGTTCTGCTGTCCCAGGACACCTGGGCTCACTCTCCCACTCCAGAGGCTTGTTTGTGTGCCCCCCTCGATCTGCCCCGGGCCAGGCTCGACCCTGATACCCAARGGAGGGCATTTTGTAATGTTTTCTTCAGCTCCCCAGGGGATCACYGCTAATGTGCAGAAGCCAAATAGCCGAGATGAAATCCAGTGTTGGTTTTAGCCAGGCCTCACCTGTGCATGTCACATCAAAGGAGCCAAGAGGACTCCCTGAACAACTTCTCCCCCTTTCTTCTTTATCAAGGGCAAGTGGGCTCACAAATAGTTGTATTTGGGTTGTGGTATTTAGAATTATCCCCTTTCACTTGCCATGTGTGCTGTGTGTGTTCTTGCAAAAACTGCTGCTGTTTTGGTTTCTTCAGGATCCCTGGAACTCTTCCAAAGGTGACCACGGGCTGCATGTGCCCATGGCTGGTCAGGGTGGGTAAGGCAGAGATGTGTGTTATGAAAGCACTTGGGACAGGGACTCATGGCTTGGTTTGGTTTTTTTATTGATTGCAGAATTGCCTCTTCCAGGTAAATCCAGTGAAGCCTGAATTTTGTATTTCCAAACAGTTCAGAGGACTTGTGTGCTGACCTGGGGCTTGGCTCTTCAGAGATGCTGAGTTCCCATCTCCTGAGATGGGATCTCTTCTGATCCTTGTGGGGTGTTAATTGGGCTGACAGATTGGCTCAAAAAGTGCTTTGAAGGTGTTTGGGCAGGGAAGCCTGACCAGGGTAAAGCCCTGCCCCAGCACAGGGCAGCCCAGGCAGCCAGAGCTGTGCCTTTGCCTGCCCCTGCAGGCTCTTCCTCTCCTTGTCAGCTCTCCCTCGTTGTTTAGGGAAAGCAGTCACTGTTAGTGCAGGTGTGGGTGAGAAAGAATGCTGGGTTACCAAAAGCTCCTTAGCACTGGCTCATTTTTACATTGTTCAGGCTCAGTTCAGCAAAGCAAAAACCTGGTTGGTGAGCACGTGCTTCAAGCTGCTCTGCCTTTGGGGTGTTGCTGAATTGCAGAGCACTAAAGCCTGTGTGCTTGGCTGAGTCTGGGCCTGGACAGCTCTCAATGGATGAGAAAAGCAATTTCTGCCATTTTTCATAATCACGCATTTTTACAGTGGGCCAAGGCTTCCCAGGAGTATGTTTTCTCTGCTTATTTTAAAAGCCTGTTTGCACTGTGTACTGATAAATTATCTGTTTTGCTGGGTTTTTCCCCTGACAAATCTTGATAAATGATRTGTAGGGAACAGTCCATTTTATTTYTAAACTGATGAGATTGTAGCATTTTCTGATGCTTAGTTACTGCTGTTTACATGGTATATTGCTAGAATTTCAGATAGTTTCTATGAAATGTAAGTACAGTTATGCACTTTAGAGAGTTTATATTTTTGAACTTTGAAAACTAAAAGTAATAGAACCTATTAATGGAGGTTGTACATTAAAAGGAAAAAAAAAGACACACACCTAGCCATCTCTCTTTTTCTACTGTTCAAGTCCTTCCTCATGGCAAAAAGAAAGCAAAACTTCAGCTGCCTCGTTGTGAAAGGAACTGCTAGAAAAGATTATCAGAGAGAARTGAATTTTACAATGCCAGTCCTGGAAAGACGTGTACAAATGCTGAACTTTGTCCTGGGTTTGCAGATGCTGTGACTCCCCTCTCCCAGACATGTGCAGGAGGAGGACTCCTGAGCACTAAAATGTCTTTGTATCTCCCACAAATGATTTGACTTCTCCCTGACCACAAATAGACAGAAATTATGTTTGTCCCACCACAGGAAGTCAATCCAAGCAACCACTGTGTGTTTTGTTTGATGATTTGTCTGTGCCAACATCAATGACTGTTGACTGGAGAACATTCAATACAAGACTGTGCTTTTTAAAAGGTGTGAAGTACTGTACAAAATTGTACTTTATGTGATATAAATAAGCTGTTTAGTGTAAGACAACCTCTTTCCCTGTCACTAGAACAAGCTGTCTTCTGTAGGATGGCAGTAGGGTCTGTTGGGCTTCCCATCAATAGGGGCTGTCTCGGACACGTGTCTGTGTTACCACATTGTGGTATAAAAAAAATCATTAAAATGTAAACGTTAGCCATGAATGGGTTGTGCACAAAATAAGATTGCAGGAATGAAAGAYAGAGGGAAAACTTGTCATTCTTGCAAGTTGCATTTGGTTTTATTCTGTTTACTCCTGAGTAAACAGGTGAATAATGGATATTTCTGTTAAAGGTGGTGAAATTAAAGCATTTTCCTTTAATCATTCTGCTGATACATCGGTTGTTTTTCCTGGTGAGTGCAAGTTTTAGAGGGTAAGTGCTGCCAGCCATCCTCCAGCCTGAGGAGCCCTTTGCAGCTGTTTCCAAGTCCTTTGCTGCTGCCGAGGTGAGAGCTGGGTAACCAGACCAAAATAGTTATGGGTTGAGGGGGAAAAAAAAATGTTTGCAATGAGTCCAGTAGCTGGGAAGTTTAAAGTCACATTCAGGTGGTGTGGAACTAAGTGGGGCAGAGTGGGCCTGGTGTGGCATAATTAATTGTGCTAATGGTCTGAGCCTGCAGCATTGACATCCTCGAGGGCAAGCACAGCTGCACAGTGACAGCAAGGCAGGCTGGTGGCTGCGCAGGATTTCCTGGGCTCCTGTTTCTCCCTTGGCCCACCATGGCATGTGGTRTTGGAGACTGTGCTTGGGATGCAGGGATTGGCTCTAAATCCAAACTGAACAGCCCTCCACACCCCCACTGCATGTCTGTGCCCCACATTGAGAAGATCCATGGGGAAAGCTCTTGCCCTTGGAGACTGGGGTGGACTGACATCTCCAGCTCGTGGAGGGAGCAGTCAAGTCTCACCAACCTGCATGCTCAGTCACAGCATGGAGTGTGGACCTTGTAGGATCAGCAAGTGTGTGACCTTTCTGCTTCCCCCTGGACACCTGCATGCAGGGAGCTGTCTCCTAGAATAATGGATATGTATATACATCAAACAATACACTGTTTTGCAAATGACTTGGTGTATAGCAAATATTTGGGTTGGCTGCGTGCAGAAGCCAATACCAGGGTGGGTGTGGGTGCCTGACTGAAAAAAAATTGTTAATAATCACTTTTCTTCAGMTTTCATTTGCTGTACAAAAGCAATGTGGGAATGCTGTCATGCAGCCAGTGCATTCCACACCTCAGTGACTCTGGGCTCGGGTCTCYGTTTACATGGTTTATGTAAGCAACTTCAAACTGAATCTATAGTGTCCTTTTTAACATAAATGGATTGAAAAGCATTATGTGTACACTTTGTATTTTGTATAAAACAAGAAAATACAACTATTTTGACTGCAGGTGTTTGGTGACAGCTTCTGTTGTGTGTGGGATACTGCCAAAGGTGACTCAGCTCAATGAAGGGGCTCATCAAGTCCTCAACAGCCCTGGCCCCTCCTGCTTCCTCCTCAGCTGAGCAGGGGTGACACCTGCTGCTGGAAAAAAAGATGTGTGTGATGTATAAATACAAATGTACACACATTCTGCATTTATGTATTCTGTAAGACAAAACCACTTTTTAATTACTTACCTCTGTAGTGTAATAGATGTTATCTATGTTAATGCAACACTATATACAAAATCTAGTCATTATATACAACAGTATCTAGACCTTCCACAGTAACACAATCACACAGTAATGTGCACACATTATATTCTGTTTAAGAGGGTGTGTGCATATTCCTGTGTGTACATATGATCCATCCACCTACACATGAATATGTGCACTGTATGTTCTAACCACACATGCATTTATACTTACCTCAGAGGGAAGGAAGTATTCTACATGTTCTTAATTCAACTTTCTGATAGAATTTTTTTTTTGTGGCTGGCAGCTAAGCCACTGAATTAATTATATTTCATGCATTTAATGGTGTCTCACATTGCTGAAGGGCCAGGACAGCACAAGGCCACAGCACTGCTGGCTGAGCCCTCCCACACTGGGCCCCTGTGGGGTTGGAGGGGCTGGGGTTCCCTGAGCCACAGCCACCCCCCTGCACACAGGAAGAGGCCTCTGTGCCCTTCACTGCCATGAGGAAAAGCACTGCTGCTCTGTGAGAGGGAGGAAAGGAGAGATGGAGGGAATGACTCAGGTCTGGTCTCCAGTCCAAGCTCTTCCATGGGGGACCTGCCTGACTTTGGGATGGGATAGGAGAGAGGCAGTCCTGGTTCCTGGAGCAGGCTTTACTTACCCCCACAAGAAGGCAGCCACTCCATCAGAATTAAACATCAAATTTATTGCATAATACTGTACTATGTACACAGACATCGAAAATAAACATTTGATATAACTGTATATTTGTCTTCAATGCTGCATTAGAAAGAGGCTGGGGGCTCTCCATGTAGTCCACAGCTTGTCTTTAAAAAAAAAAACAAACAAACCCAGAAGCCTAAAACCTTTTTGTTATGAGGTGCAAAGTTCAATACTGTAAATTGAACATGGTGCATAAATACTATATCTTAATAACAAGTCAATGTCAAAACCACCCTAGGCTTAAAATGAGATTTACATCAAGACCTGAAAAATGGCAGGGGAGAAAGGAGAAAAATCATTCAAACGTCACTTAATGGGGCAGTGAGACTGAAGAAAAGACGACAGAAGTTCTCCAATCATACAGGATCKATTTAGGTAGTAATTTTTCTACATTTTCAGTCTAATTCATACAGATTGTCCTTCAGGTCCCCTGGCTGCACAGCTGCCAAGTGAGAGAGCTGTTCTCAAAAAGCAAAGTAACCCTAAGTGCAAAGATCAAAGCAATCTCCAAGCAGAGGGCTATCCCTGAAATGGGGATCTCCTTTCCTTGACCTGATGGGACTGGAGAGACTGTAACACCTCCCCCACTCACACACCCCAGCACACGCACAGCCACACACACCACTCCTCTGCACAGGAGGCTGCAGGAGAAGCAGCCACCTCACCTCGTATTGGAATAACAGAGCTTTGTTTTGGCTCTTGGGATGGAAAAACAGGGCTGCCCACCCATCCACAGTGCAGATTTGCCAGGACAGAAACACAGCATGAGGGAGGCATTTTGAGAAACCTGCTGTTACAAGTAGGGTTTGTCCTTCCACAGGCCTAACACAAACCTCACTCCAGAGGACTCTGAGGCTGCTTTAGGAACACACTGCTTGAAAACAAAATTCAAGACAAGTGAAAAAAACAAGCCATCCTCTGTACACCATTGTATTTGCCGTGAGACATCSTGGTGCAAAAAGACAACATCACTACTGCACCGCTCTGGGATCACAAATGGCATCCCAGCCCAGCACCATCCACCAAGGACCAAAGGSCAGAGGAGATATTTCCATTCAAAGCAAGCAAGAACCAGCTTGCATTTAAAAAAGGAGGGGGAAAAGGGCAGGGGAAATCACAGCTTTTCAAAGAGGAGATTGCTATTTCATCCTCAGTTTCCACCATACTTTAACGCAAGGGACATCAGAATATTTTAACTGGATTAAAAGGAGAGGTAAGAGTGTGTGTGTATGGGGGCAATAAAAGCAAACTACAAGGAATCTCCAGGAGGGCAGTGATGTCCAGTTGGAGGGGAAACAACAGAAATGCCCACTGAACTGGTTTTGTTCAGCAGATGAGAAAATTCAAAGCAAGAGCCTCTCCCTGCTGAAGCCCCACAAAATGCTGGCAGCATCAGGCTGAGGCTGCATCATCTCTATTATTATTATTATTATTATTCATATACCCCACCCCCCCCCANAAAAAAAAAAAAATCAGCTCTATTCCCTTACAAAAATAAAGCCAAAGCCCGTGGTTCTGTTGCTCAGCACCCAAGAGTCTGTGCCTGGGCTGKGGGGTCAGGCCAAGCTGAAGCCCTCGTAGTGGTCGATGGCCTGCACGAGGCGGGCGCTGAGGATCTCCTTGCTGCTGTACTTGGGCAGGTCCAGCAGGTTGTAGCAGGTGTGTGCCACGGGCAGGTACTGCTCCCCGCTGGGCGTGGACTGGATGATGATGCGCAGGCTGGACATGCCGTAGATGGGGATGCGGTCGCTGCCCGTCAGGAACACTGCCGGGGACACAGGGAAGGGAATGTGGGGTGAGGGAGGGCAGTGACCTCCCCCCAGGGCTGCACCCACGGGCAAATTTCAGCCCCACCCGCCTGAACTCGGTGCAGGCTCCCAGGAGAGCTGCAGGACAGCACAGCCAGTGCTGGGTACTAACACTGGCCTTTATCTTTCCAGCACTCACTTAATCAGTGACTGAGATTGAAGGGACCCTGTGAGGTCCCGGGGCCACCTACAGCCAGCTGCCCAGGACAGCAGGAAAAAAAACCATCACAGAGGGCATCCCCAGATCTGACCATCAGATATCTCCACTCACACTGGATCACCCAACTCAATGCAATGAAGCCCTGCAGCCACTCCCACCCGAGTTTTCAATACTGAACCACTGCAAGGTACTTACAGAGRAATTTCTTCTTTTTTTCCAAGGGAAATGCATGGAAGGTCTCCCAGAACATTCTCACAGTCGGGTGTGTGGCAGTGTAGTCTCCCTTATAGACAGCACTCTGTTAAAAACCAAAACACCACATTTTCATGGCTCTAGAAAGCAAAGCCAGAGCAGAACCCAGACCTGATCTCTTCTGGTATCTGACATCAGATCAATGCCTGACAGCTTTGAAGGTCACAAATTCTGCACTGGGAGTAACTTGCTAGTCTATGGATTTGGAGAGGATACAGCCCTTCCTGGGTGTCCAGACTCCCCTTTGAACCCTTGGCTGTGTACTTTCTGCCCTTAGGCAATGGACTAAAATTTTACTATAGGTGAAGACACTTTGTCTCCTCCCTTCTGCCTTAGACTTCATCCCTAAAAAAAGCAGATGGAAGTTCCTATCCCCATCCTTCCTCATCTTCAACTTCCTCAGTGAGCCTCATCTGTAGCAGGACAGCACAATGAGAAACTTTTCATGTGAGTGACAGYAAGGTGTACAAA